ATTCTGGTCACCCCTAGTACTCTTCTTAGATACTTCATTGATATACTTTGCAGTTTACTTTTTAGTCTGGTGGTGAGCGTCCAGCTTTCACATCCAAATGTTAAGATAGGTACAAAAACTGTGTTGTAGCTATCTTTGCTTTTTGGGATACTTCTTTTTTCGATAGGAATGTGCTCCTAATTGCGTGGTATATCCGGGAAGCGTTTGATATTCGATTATTTATCTCTGCTTCTTGTGTACCCCTACTCTCTAGTTGCACTCCCAGGTATTTGAAGGTTTCTACTTGTTCTAAAGTATAGTTATTGATTTTAATGTTTGTATGTTGGTCTGTTTTCCCACATACCATCACTTTGGTTTTACTTTCATTAATTCTCAGATTGCGTTTCTCAAGTTTATCTCTCCATATTTGGAGGTTTCTCTTAAGTGCGTCCTCGTTTCTTTCAAATACGACGAGGTCATCTGCAAATGCGCACTCCGCAATCTGTATCATTTCCAGGTTTCTATGTCCAACAAATAATCTCAATGTTTCTTCTCTAGTTTCCTTCATTACATCATCTTGTACAATATTGAACAGGATGGGGTCTAGTACATCTCCTTGTCGTAAGCCATCATTGACTCTAAACTCTTCTGATTCCATATTATCTGTTCTTACCCTGTTTCTTGTGTTCTTGTATAGGCTCATAATAGCTTTTCTGAGTTTGCCGTCTACTTCTCTGTTTCTTAGACTTTTGTCTATTTCAGTTCGCGGGGTTCTATCAAATGCTTTTTCGAGGTCTATGAAGGCTTGGTATAGTTCTGTGCTTGTATTTCGTGCATTTTGTATTAGATGCTTGAGTGTAAAAATATGATCATGGATGCTTCTTCCCTTCCTGAAACCGCTCTGTGACTGCTCCAGTTTATGGTCTACTTCTTGTAGTAGTCTTTTCTCCAGTACTCGTTCGTAAACTTTGGAAGGGATACTCAGGAGAGTTATACCTCTGTAGTTGCTGCATTCTCGTCTGTCACGTTTTTTGAAAATGGGTAGTATAATGCCACTTCCCAGTCTTTTGGGATCTTGTTCTCATTCCATGCTTTATTGCAAACTTTTCTAAGCATTTCATTTCCATTTTCTCCCATATTTTTTAGCATTTCCGCAGTTATCTTATCATAGCCAGCTGCCTTTCCTCTTTTGAGCCTGAGTATTATTTCTCTTATTTCTTCTATTGTTATTTCGTTTTGGTTTGGGTTCTCAGATGTGTTTTCTTCAGTGTTGTCTATTTCATTATTATAGTCTTTTTGAGTCAGAAGGTCTTCGAAATATTCTCTCCACCTGTTCATAATACTTTCGTTCTCGCAGAGGATGTGGCCATCTTTGTTTTTAATTTGTTTTGGTGTTTGTTGTCTGTTTTCTGTTCTTAGGCTTCTCAGAGTTTTGTAAAATAGTTTTTGGTTAGTGTGGTAGTCTTTTTCCAGCTTATTCCCAAAATCCTCCCAGCTCTTCTTTTTTGCTTCAATCACCATATCTTTTACTTTTGCCCTCTGTTGCTTATATTTTTGATAGCTTTCTGCATTCTGGTTCCCTAAATATTTTTTCCACGCTAGCTTCTTGAATTTGACCTCTTCTTTTATTTCATTACTCCACCAATTCGTACATTGTCTGTTTTTATTGATTTTAGCTATTCCGCAGATTTGCTTGCCCCCATCTAGGAGGTTTCTCTTTAAGTTTTTGCCAAGTTTTTTCTAAGTCGTAGTTCTGGTTTAAGTACTTTTGTAGACTATTGTTCACATAGCTTTTGTATTTCTGTGCTATTTTCTTATCTGCTAACTTGTATGACCTAATAACTGCGTTGGTGAGGTTTCTTGGGGTTCTGTCTCTTTTTCTTGATACCTTCTGCGTGCGTTTTTGTTCCACACCGAGACTAGTTCGGGATACTACCAGATAATGGTCGCTATATATTTCTGCTCCCCTTCTGACTCTGACATCTTTGATACACTGTCTTAAGGGTCTGTTAACCAATACATAGTCAATAATGGACTTTTCTCCTCTACTCTTGACTTCTCTGGTATATTTGTGCACATCTTTGTGTTGAAAAAAGGAATTCATAATTATCAGGTCATTCTCTCTACAAAAGTCTATAATTCGTTGACCATTATTGTTTCTTACTTGTTCTCTGTGTTGTCCTAGTACATCCGAGGATTCTTGGTCTTTTACGCCTACTCTACCATTGAGATCACCAATTATTATTATGTTACCTTCTGCGCTATCTATGATCTCTGTCGCCTTTTCCCAAAAAATGTCCTTGGTGTTCGCTCTTTCAGTATCGTTTGGTCCATATATAACAAAGATGTTGACTAGTTTCTTCTCTTCGGTTGTCATTCTAATTTTTAGGATCCTTTTGGTAATACATTCCCAATCTTTAATGCTACTAGTCAAGTTTCTATTGATGAGACAACCAACTCCTTCACGTGCTCTTTCTGACGGGGGTGCTCCACTGAGTATTAAAAAATGGCCATTTTCCAGAAACTGTGTGCTCTTACCTTTTCTTTTGGTCTCTGTGATCCCTAGTATGTCAATTTTAGCCTTATTAAATTCTTCTAGAAGTTCAGCCTCCTTGCCGTTGAGACCTCTTACGTTCCATGTTCCTATTGTCCATCCTTCAGATATTCTGGTTTTTTGAGTTGCCGTTGTTTTCACACTTTTAATCTCATTGATTACAGTTGCTTTGTGTATTTGTAAGCGTTTCTCATCTCCCTTATTTTTAACGTTTAACTTATTGTGATTTCTATGGACAAGGACTTAATTTTAACTTTACACTACATAGTTTGTTTACAAACCTGTTACTATATAGGTACGAGTAAAAATAATCATAATAAGTTATTGAATAATAATAAATTAATTACTAGAACAAGATTTTACATATAAGCTAAAATGAAACTATGAACTTTATAATATACAGATAATATTTATTTTTAGTTATTACTTGAAGAATAATAAATAGAATTGAATAAATACATAGTGGTTCCAGTATTGAAAATAAACGCATTAAAAATATCTAAGAAACAAATAGTTTTTTTATCATTATTTATATTTATTTGGATTTGCATTATCCTGCATTGATATCCTGATTTTGGCATTAAAGTCACCCATAACTAGCGTTACTTCATTAGTTTTTAAATTACTTAGGACTTTCCTTAAATCGCAATAAAAAGCCACTATTACTTCGTCTGATTTATCTGCTATGGGTGCGTATATGTGGATTATGTTGGTTTTTGCTGGAAATAAATCCAATTGAATGAGTATGATTCTCTCGGATATCGGAACAGAATTGGTAACGTATTTGTTTATTTAAAATTATTCCGACACCATGCTTATGTTGACCTTCTGTATTTCCAGAGTAACATACCTGATGCTGGTTTATTTGACATTTTCCGCCATCAGGCCATCGCATTTGACTGATGCCCATTATATCAATAGTCAGTATTTCCATTTCATAAATGGTAATATAAATTTTGCCTGCTTTGTACATGGTTTTGATGTTACAGGTGCATATTTTAATAAACTGCTTAATTTTTCTAGGCGCAGCGTTTCCTTTTACTTGTGGGTTTCGCCTGCTAACGATCTGGGACGCCCTATGGTTCTGTGTTGTTATTCCTCCTCTGCCGGATCTCGCACTCCGATATACGTGATCAGTAGTCTTCACTCTCAAAGCTGTAGCCATGATAGATGTACAAGAGATACCCTTCTTCTTCTTCAGATGCAAATCCACTAATGGATGTTAGCGATCACATTTTCCATTAACTCTCTATTTCTTGCAATATGTATCAGAGATTGTATGTCGTTAATCCCTGTCCATTGCCTTATGTTTCGGAGCCAGGACATTTTCTTGCGTCCCAAAGAGATACCCATATGGATCTTTAATGTAGTGGATTCTCCTTGCTTTTTACATCCTTAAGCCGTTGACCTAGTTCTCGGTTTATCTGCCTTTAGGGCCAGTTTGCTAACCCTATGACAAAAGAGTGCCCTACCACTTACCAACTTATCCACCCGAAGCTGTAGGTAAGTGGGGGATTCCTTATACCGGCAATCACTTGGACGTCAGAGCTTCGTTTGTTATCTAGCAAGATGCACCGGATGATCAGAATCAAGATCACTATGCGTACAGGTGAGCCCAAACTTTCACTCTTCCTTAATTGGGGTAAATGGGGTAAAGACAAAACCTAGCTTCCATCTGTGAATAAGTGATTAAAAAGCAATCAATTAATAATAGACCTGAAAACGATAAACCCATCCAATTTTTGTAAATTTTGAAAACAGTTTACTAATTTATTTGTAGTGTTTCCAACGAGGAACGAACCAGGATTTGATAACTATATAGTTAGCCAAAAAATGCAAAATGTAAACAGCCCGCCAATGATAATCCAATATCTATCAAACCAAATAAATTGTAACCCATTAATGCAGATGCAGATTACAAACAACACACAAAGTCAACTACAAATCATCAAAATACAGGGTTATCTACAAATCTCCTTACAAATTGCGCCACACTACACCAGTATAAATAACAGAAATGGTCAGCAAGACTAGGTATATAATGTCATTAAAAGCAATGATGAACCAAAAACTGCTAATGTGTCAACCAAAAGCGCATTTTCAAGTAGTTTAAACTACCTAACCCAGAAAAATCAGATTAAATGTGGAAAGAGACAAAGATGACTATTTCCTCAGTGTTTTCTGTCGTCTTCGCTTTCTTATGTAATTCTTTTATCCTTCTTATTTGTAATCCTGGGTCCTCTTTGCCATTTACTTCTCCCTGCGTTCCTACGCACCTCGTAGTTGTCCCCACAGTTATTTTTGTTTGTTGTTACGCAGTTTCTTATATTCCTCACTAATGTCCGCCTCACTAATTGTCAATGTTCCCTTGTATATTTTCCAATCTCTATTTGCCATGACCTCTGCTGTTTACCTCCTCACTCTTATAAAATAGTAAATACTCGAGACGCATCTGGATGATAACATTTACATTTTGTACGTTTAAGAATGATTTGCAAACTCAAAGTAAACTTTTTTACGGTCCTATTTTGGGCATCAGTATTTTTTGCAAATAATCAACCTAGTTGTGCAGTTTTATCAAAAGATTTAAAGGCGATTTTACCTAGTGGAGATCAAATGCCATTGATTGGATGTAAGTACCTACATATTTTATAAAGTGTATATAATTAATATTTTACCGACCTTGAAGGCCTAGGGCACACATAATTTTTATAACTTTTAGTTAAAATATGACTTAGCCAACATTTTTCATTACGTTATAGGAAAATGTCACAAGGGATAATTAATAATAAGTTTTAAAATAGTTTGAGCATAACACAGTTGAATGAACCTGTCTTTTAAAGGTCAGAATCAGTCAGTTTTGTATACCTTTATTTCTAAAATTAAAAAAAAATATTATATAATAATTTTACAAAAACAATTAAATTTTCTAAACATTATCATTAAGTAATATTAAGAGACTGACGTTACGTAACATGATTTGTTACGCTATTATGCAGTATAATTAGAAATACAATTATGAATTGCACGCATGTTTTACTTATTTATCAAGAAAAGGTCAGGCAAAGTGATAACCAAAAAAGAGGACGTAATGGGTAAGACAAGGAGTCCTACTTTAGTCACTGCAGTTTATAGTCTTTAAGTATTAAAGATTAAAGCAAATGAGGAAAACTGTAAAAAGATCGACATAGATGTAACATACAATAAACCATTAGGAAAGTAAATGGTTAGTTGCCAATGACCCATTATCAAGCTGTTGATCAGTTATGGCAAGATTTTACAGGTCTTTGTTATACAGAGTGGCCCAAAAGTCTGGAAACGGCTAATTATCTCGTAAATTACTAGACATAATTATACAAAATTTGAGATACGCCTATTTTGGGATACGGAGATTCCATATTTGGTATTTGCAATGTTGCCAGATTTTCAGTTTCTCTTATATTACTACTAACTTTGGTTTTTCAAATGCATCACCCTGTATATTCAGTCATTATTGGAATCTCCTATTAAATACGAGTTCAACCATATGTAACACTTATGATTTTATGTAGTCTGGAAGGTCTTAAATACATAAAACAGAAGTCTGGCAACGCCTAAATTGTTTCAATACATTTTTTAATACTTACTATTTTCAAATACATTAAAACATAACAATTGATAGTTTAGAATATTTTTTAACATAATAGTTACGTTATTATGTGTTCAAAATGTGCTCCATTTGTGAGTTGACAGCACTCTAATCGATGCGATGGTAGAATGCGTCTACCACATTTCTCCATGATTGTCTAGAAATTATTCGAGATTCATCGATAATTCATGGCCTTAGCTATGCAAGACTTGCTGGTTAAGTTTTGTAAACTGAATTTTTCAAGTATCTCTAATAAAAATAATCTTTAGGATTAAGATCGGGTGAACGTGGAGGCCATTCAATTCTACCTTGTCTACCAATTTATCGTCCGGGAAATATCTCATCTAAATAAAGCCGAACATTTACACCAACTATCTGACGTTAAATTTCTTTCGATAAAAAATGGCCCAATTAAATAAGTACCTACTATAACTGACCATACATTTAATTTTTGTGGTCTTTGAGTATGGTTTTCACGCATTCAGTGTGAATTTCACACGAGTTCAGCTATTCAAAACGAGTTCAACTTGATTTTATGTAGTCTGAAAGATCTTAAATACATAAAACAGTGCAAATATGTAGATTTTAATAAATTTAAATATTTAAATGGAGAATGCTGTGATTTTGACATTTGTACACCATTTAAATTATGAACTAAAATTGACAGTAGTTGTGGTTCAAAAAGTTCTGCAATTTAAATTGCTTCTCTAAAATGCCGTTCTCTAAACCGTTCTCCTATTCATAAGACGACGGTACAAAAAACTGTAAGGCGATTTGAGGAATCGGGAGAAGTAAAAGATAGATACCGATCAGGTTGACCGAAACGAGTTATCAATGACAATAAAACTTCAGATATAAGCAAAGTTTTGTTGAAGATCCACATACATCCCCAGGCAGGGTTGCACAAGTACATGATGTAGGTCATTCTTCAGTCTTAGGTTTATTACGTAAAAATAAATTTAAATCATACAAAATTAACTTATTGCAAGAATTAAGTGAAGATGACTTTGGTCGTAGATTAGAGTTTACTGAGGTAATGATGGATAAAATTGAAAATTGTTAAAACTTCGTTAACATAATATGTTTTTCCGATGAAGCAACTTTTACACTGTGTGGAAGTGTAAATCGATACAATTTAAGGTACTGGAGTAACGTAAATTCACACTGAAAACTGAACGCGTGAAAACCATACTCAAAGACCACAAAAATTAAATGTATGGTCAGATATAGTAGTTACTTATTCAATTGTGTCATTTTTTGTCGAAAGAAATTTAACGTCAGATAGTTGGTGTACCTAAATGTTCGGCGATATTTAGATGAGATATTTCCTGGACGATAAATTGGTAGACAAGGTAGAATTGAATAGCCTCCACGTTCACCCGATTTCAATCCTAAAGATTATTTTTATTAGGGATACTTGAAACATTTAGTTTACAAAACTTAACCAGCAAGTCTTGCAGAGCTAGGCAACGAATTATCAATGAATCTCGAATAATTTCTAGACAATCATGGAGAAATGTGGTAGGTAGACGCCTTCTACCATCGATTAGGGTGCTGTCAACTCACAAATTGAGCACATTTTGAACACTTAATAACGTAACTACTATGTTAAAAAATGTTCTAAACTATCAATTGTTACGTTTTAATGTATTTGAAAATAGTTTATTGAAACAATTTAGGCGTTGCCATACTTCGGTTTTATGTATTTATGACCTTCCAGATTACATAAAATCATAAGTGTTACATATGGTTAAACTCGTATTGAATAGGAGATTTCAATAATGACTGAATATACAGGGTGATGTATTTGAAAAACCAAAGTTACTAATAATATAAAAAAAACGGCAAATCTGGCAACATTGTAAATATCAAATATGGAATCTCCGTATCCCAAAATAGGTGTAGCTCAAATTTTGTACAATTATGATTAGCATTTTACGAGATAATTAGCCGTTTCCAGACTTTTGGGCCACTCTGTATAATATATGTACGTGTAATGTAATGAAAAAATAGCGTTGAATGTGTTTTATGTTCCTTTATTTCACTAATTAAAAACATGTGTGTGGTAGCCTACATAAAGCAACTCCGTAAGTAATGAAGTGAGTAACGTCCCATGACGTCTGTCAACGTCCATGAAATGTTTGGTACAAAAATACTTAGATGAACCCAAAACAAATTTTGATTTGACTACATACCCAACACAGCTGGCTAATTCTTTTACCTGTAACCAAATTGAAATATAATGCGATAATTAGCAATACATGAGCCTCGCGATAATAATAATTACATGGCCGATACATTACATCACCCCACCCTAAAATTCTACTTATAACTAAATTTAGAAACACAACAAAACTAAACTTCTAAATACTATATTTCGAATCCATAAGGTTTTGGTTCTTTTCTAGATCTTATTGGACGTCTATGTGGGATGCCTGACTCTTGGATAACATCACTATCCTTTTGAGAGTCTAACTGAAGCTCCCCACCTAGGTTTCCTGTTGAGTTTGTAGCGGCTTGGATAACATTTTCCTCGTTATTTTGAATATTATTTTCCTCTGAACTATCGTGCATCGTCTCCGCAAATGTAATACCTTCTAAATCACTATTAAAAACTATTTTCATTTGATTACTATATCTTTTCCACGTAAGGTTACTACCTAACGGATTTACCAAATATGCTCGTCTACCTAAAATTCGTAAAATCTTTGATTTTCACCACGACACCTTGATGTTTCTATAATCTTTAACTAAAACGATATCCCCCACTACAAACTCTACCTGTCTCTTGCCCCTATAATATTTCTTATTATTTTCTTACGCTTGCATCAAGTTACGTCTAATTTGTGTTAAATCAACTGGGTTTGATTGTTGTTTTTGTAATTTTACAAAAAAACAGCTTCTTAACTTAATTCAGGTTTAATTAAATCTAAATGCGTTCGTAAAGCCCTTACAAAAAATATCTTAGCGGGAGAAGTACCTGTTGACAGGTGCACTGTGTTCCTATATGTTAATAAAAATTTAGACAATGTTAAATTAATATTTATTTGATCAAATTCTTTTAACAAAAATGCTTGACTGTATTAACACTATTTTCAGCAGCTCTGTTGCAATGTGCAAAAAAGGAGGTATTGTTGTATGTTTAATAACGTTTTTCGTGTTTCGGCAAAATCTATATACACGCGTGACAAAACATTTTGAGGAATGCTCCAGCATTGCAAAGGAACCTTAGGTGGATCTGCCTGCATGCTCTGACAAGGAATCCAATTCTTGCTGAGAACTTCAATTTCTGTATTTAATGATGGCCAAAAAATATAAGACCTAGCTAATAATTTCATCTTAACTATACCAAAGTGAGCTCTATGCAATTCAGTCAGTAATTTATTTCGTAGTTTACTAGGAACAATTCATTATCATCTTTGGCTCGACAATCTTTTGTGGATCTTGGCCTGCTCTAAGATTCGTCGCCATTCTGTTCGGTTTTTGGCAACATGTTGCCATCTTCTGATTTTTAATATTCGTAAGTCGGTTTCTACTCCATCTAACCACCTAATTCGCGGTCGGCCTTTACTTCTTTTTCCTACAGACGTTCCTGTGGTTAGCTTTTTAGCAATGGTATTTTCTGGCATTCGTATTATGTGTCCAGCCCATCTAAGTCGCTGTGTTTTAATGTACGTTATGACATCTGGCTCATCAAAGAGCTGATACAATTCAAAATTATATCTTCTGCGCCACTGCCCTTGGTCGTTTACAGCTCCAAATATTTTGCGGAGTATTTTACGCTCAAATATTCCCAAAAGTCTTTCATCTTTCTGAGTTAGTGTCCATGTTTCTGCTCCATATGTGAGGACCGGCCTCGGCAATGTTTTGTATATAATAATTTTAGTTCTTCTTTGAATGTTTCTTGAGTGGAAATGCTTTTGGAGTCCATAGTATGCCCTATTTGTAAGATTTATTCGTCTTTTGATTTCTTCACTTGTTTTATTGGTAGCAGTCAATAGCGACCCAAGGTATGTGAAGTTGTCAACACGTCCAAAGGTATGACTTCCAAAGACTGTTTCTCGTTCCTCATTTGCTATCGGATCCTTTGTAACCAACATGTACTTGGTTTTGTCTTCGTTGATGACTAGACCGACCTGTTTCGCCGCTGTTTCCAATTCTAGGAGATATTGCTCAACATCTCGCTTGCTACGCCCTACTATGTCAATGTCATCAGCCTATGCTAAGACTTGTATCGATCTATTGTAAATAGTACCGCCATCCCTAATCCGTGTATCTCGGACTGCCTTTTCTAAGGCAATATTAAATAGGAGGCAAGCCAGAGCATCTCCTTGTCTGAGTCCATCCTTTATCTCAAAGGATCTAGAACTCTCTCCCTGTATTCTAACAGTGGCTTCTAAGTTATACATTGTCATTCTTGTTAGTCGGATAAGTTTTTCTGGTATACCAAACTCATGCATTGATTGGTATAGCACTGTTCTCTTGACACTGTCGTATGCGGCCTTGAAGTCGACGAATAGGTGATGGGTTTCAATATTGAATTCTAATATTTTTTCGAGAATCTGTCTTATTGAATGAATCTGGTCAATTGTTGATTTTTCTGGAGTGAATCCAACTTGATATTTACCAACTATGCCCACTGTGTAAACTTGCAACCTTTCGTAGAGAATATTTGCTAGTATTTTGTAAGCAGTTGTTAACAGGGTTATACCTCTATAGTTGTTACACTGGAGCTGGTCACCTTTTTTATGTAGCGGGCATATCACGCCTTGAGACCATTCACAAGGCATGGTCTCATTATGCCAAATAAGAAGTAAAAGCTTGTGCAGTATCTGTAGTAGGGCATCGCCACCATTCTTGTAGAGCTCACTGCAAATTTGATCGACTCCTGGTGATTTATTATTTTTAAGCTTTTTAATGGCTTGGGCAACGTTTTCGATGGTAGGTGGTCTTTTGTTTGGATTGAAAGGATTCCAATCATTTCGATTTGCTAGGGTGTTATCTGCTTCTTCGATATGATGGCCATTAAATTTTGCATCGAAAAATTCAACCCATCTGTTTAGGATTGAGGCCGTATCATTTAGGATGTTTCCTTCTATGTCCTTACAGCTCCTTATTCTTGGCTTAAACTCTTTGCGCATTTTGTTTAGATTTCTGTAGAACTTTCGAGTTTCATTTTGATTTCTTAGCCATTCTGTGCTTTCCAATTGCTTTTGCTCAAATTGTCTTTTTTTTCTTCTATGTAATCGTTTTTCTTCTCTTCTTAGTGTCCGGTATTCTTCCTTTGCTCTTCTTGTGCATCCAGCCTGATTTGTCTTTAGGTATGCCCTGTTTTTATTATGTGTTGCTTCTTGGCACTCCTTGTCAAACCATTCGTTTTCTTTAACTGGTTTGGTTTTCCCCAATATTTTTGTTGCTTTCTCAGTTATTATGTTTTTACATTTTGTCCACAGTTCCTCTACATTTTCCCCCACCTCCAGGCTCTCCATTTCCTCGTTCATTTGTCTCCTATACTCTCTCGCAACGGTTTCAATGCGCAGATTATCAACATTAATTCTGTCTTGTTTCGTGTGTTTATATTTCTTTAGGTTTGATATTCTTCCTCTGATTTTTGCCATTACAAGAAAGTGGTCACTGTCAATGTTTGGGCCTCGGTAGCTTCTGACGTCTATGAGATCGGAAGAGTGCCTTGCATCTATCAGGATGTGATCTATCTGGTTAATGGTTTCGTTATCAGGGGATTTCCATGTTCCTTTGTGTATCATTGTATGGGGAGATCTTGTTCCTCCTACTATCATGTTTTTAGTACTTGCAAAGTTTATTAGTCTCAACCCGTTATCATTTGACTCTTCATGTAAGCTCTCACGTCCTATAGTTGGCTGGAAAAATTGCTCTTTGCCAATTTTTGCATTAAGGTTCCCAGCAATGATTTTCACGTCATGACGTAGGCATCGATTATATTCTTTGTCTAAGGTGTCATAGAAGTCATCTTTTTTATCATCCTCCTTTTCTTCCGTAGGTGCGTGTACACTAAGTAAGCTATAATTAAAGAATTTTCCTTTAAGACGTAGATAACATATTCTGTTGTTTATGGGTTTAAAGTTAAGGACTAATTGCTTTGCTTTTTTACTGACTAGAAAACTACTGCCAAACTCGTGTCGACTGCTATGTCCGCTATAGTATATATTGTAGTCTCTTTTCTCGATGATTCCTGAACCAGTCCATCTCATCTCTTGAATCGCTACTACATCGGCTTTCATTTTATCAAGTTCTTGTGTTAGCAGTCTAAGAGCACCTGGGTCATAAAGGGTTCGTACATTCCATGTGCATATCCGTAAATCGTTATTCCATTGTCGTTTGCTAGGTCGTCGTGAATTAAACAGTCCGGCTTTTCCACTTTGTGCTTTCATAACAATGAGTTTTTTTAAGGGAAGAGGTCGTTAACCTTTTGCCCAACCCCCTAATCTTCGAATGACCATTTCTCCCACTCTCGTTTGCCCTGACTCTGCTTCCCACTGGGGTTGGTTACCACAATCTTCCACAGAGTTGCTCAGGTTACCAGGGTTCACCGCGTGGAGGTAAGAGTTGGAATTGAGTAGGAGAGGCTAGTGACGCTAACAGGATGCAGCGTCATATTTTACGCATCACTACCCCATTTGAACCCTACTAGGAACAATTACAACAACTCTTTGTCCCACAATAAGACGCCATCTTCAATAGATATTTTTAATTTCGTTTAAGGAAGTAGAGTTTAATTTCTAATTCAACATTTGTTCAACTAGCCCAACCCCCAACCTGAAGGATCAGGGACTCTTCTGCAAGGGTTGCCATATCTTAATCTGTTTTGGTTCGAGGTTGGTATTTTTATTTCCCAGCTACCCAACTGGGGACGCGTCCGATGAGAGACCAACAGCTCCACACGGGACTAATAATAAGTAATACTAAATAAATAATGGGTTTCTAAGATCGCTGATTCTAACGCAGTCTATGAAATTAAACTTATTTTTTTTTATTAAAATTAACTGTTGCAATATTAAATCTTTTGGTTTTCTTTAGTCGGTACCAGCAAAGTATTAGGCACAGAGTTAGTTAAAAATACCTTAGACGACGCATTAGCCGCAGGTTACAGATTATTTGGTAAGTAACCCTTTTAGCTAATTTCTATTAAAAATTATAAAAAGTGTTTTAGTCTTAAAATACATCTTTGATACTCGTTTTTAGATACAGCAGCTGTTTATGGCAATGAAGAAGATATTGGAAAGGCGTTAAAGGAACTGTTGCCAAAACATAATTTAACCAGAAAGGATATTTTTATAACATCTAAACTTGGTAAGGTTATCCATATTCTTGATATTACTCTTTTTAATATTTTAGTAGATTGTTTATTTAAAAGGGGTTGTTTTGACTCGAAAATCTAAAAAATCTTTATACCTACGATTTAGTCCAGAAGATATAGACTACTAAGAAATCGGACTGATCAGTTTCCAAAAGGAGTACCAAGTATTTGTCATCATCATCATTTGGCTCTACAACTCTATATGACTCTTGGCCACGTTTACTATATTCCTCCATTGTTGTCGGTCCTGAGCAGATATTCCATCTCTTTCTTCGGCGACTAACTGTCGCCGAAGGTCATAACTCGACCTTAGTATGTGGTCCGCCCATCTTATTCGGTTTGCTTTAATGTAGTCTTCATCTCCATATACTGTCTGCAGTTCATCATTGTCTCCTCTTCTTCAATCTCCTGTTGCCTCTTCTCTGCAAGGCCCATAGATAGTCCGCAGTATCTTTCTTTCCAGTACCAGTAATTTTGTCGTTTTCCGCTGATTCAGAGTACATGTCTCGCTTCCATACGTTATTGTGGAACGAATTATTGTCTTATACACTATATTTTTTGTTGGTATTGAAAGTATTTTTGATTTAAGTACGGTCATTAATGAGTAATATGCCCTGTTTCCTGCAATGATCTTGGCTGCCACGTCCTTTTCATATTTATTTTCAGATGTTATGATCGCTCCCAGGTACTTGAATTCTTTGACAACTTGACGACAAAGTTGTATTCATTGATTGGTACGTTTTGTCTAACCCTTGGCCTTTGGTTTTTCGTAACCACCATGTACTTGGTCTTGTGCTCGTTGAGCCTCAGACCAACCTTGGCTCCGTTTTCGAATAGGGTAAAAACTTCTTTTGCATCTCTAGTGGATTGGTCAATTTCAGTTTCCACGTCATTCGCAAAAGCCAGTAATATTTTTGATTCTTGGACGGCAAATCGGTTTGTCAGTTGTGGTTGAGCTTTCCTTACCGCATTTTCCAGTGCAAAATTAAATAGTAGGAGGATCGAGTTAATCTCATTGTCTAAGCCCGGTGTCAATAAAGAATTCCTCCGACGTGGTGCTGCCAATTTTGATCCGTGTGGAAGTGTTCTCTGTGCTCACCTGTGCTAATCGTACCAGCTTTCCAGGTACTTCCATTTCTACCATGGTCTTCCATAATTGTTTAAAGTTCACGAAGATTTGGTGTACATTGCGGTTAAATTCCCAGTTTTTTTCCAACACCTGGCGTAGGACGAATATCTGGTCTATGGTTGACCTTCCCGGTCTGAATTCGCTTTGGTAGTTGCCCATTATTTCATCTGCGTATGGAGTCAGCCTTCTAGACAGTATTATGGATATAATTTTGTACGTTGTATTGATTAACGATATTCCTTTATAGTTCCGACATATTTGTTTGTCTCTCTTCTTGTGGATAGGTACTATGTGGCTTCCATGTCAGTGTTTCGGTATATATTCTCTTTTTCAAACTTTTCTTATAAGATGAGATATCTCAAGGTGGAGCTTTTCTCCCCCTTTTTTTAGTAGTTCCGCCTGTATGCCGCCTGGGCCTGGGGCTTTATAATTTTTTAAGGACGAAATTGCGGACTTTACTTCAGCTAGTGTGGGCTCTAGTATTTCAGGTTCGGCTAACTGGTACTGTCTTTGTTGCCCTGTCATTGTGGGTTTTTCTGTATTTAAGAGTTGCTCAAAATACTTTCTCCATTGGCGGCTTATCTCCTCGTCGTCTGCGAACAATTGTCCTGCATCGTCTTTTATAAATCTTGGGCTGTTGGTTGTGTTACCCTTCTTTGTTTTTAGGTCCTTATAAAACTGTCTAGACTGACCGGTTCTATATTCCTCCTTCTTTTTTCTTCTTAAAAGTCTTCTCGTTTGAGTACTTACTTTGTTGTAGTCTTCTCTGTTCTCATCTGTAGGGCGTGTTAGTAACTCTAGCCTCTTGATTGCTTTCTGATGCAAGCTTTGTTCGCACTCCTGGTCAAACCACTAGTTTTTCTTTTTGTTATTTCTTTCTTTTCCTATAGTTTCCGCTGCGACCCTTTCTATGGCGTTCGTTATATTTTATCATTTCTGGTCTATGATTATATTACAATCAAGTAGCCTCTATCCAAATTGGAGACAGTCCGACTGAAAAAATATCCATCAAATGTGGAGTACGGCAAGGTTGTGTTTTGTCACCCAGTCTTTTTAATCTGTACTCTGAAGAAATCTTTAGGGAGGCTTTGGATGACAGACAAGAGGGAGTAAGACTAGGTGGAGAAGTAATCAACAATATTAGATACGGCCATTCTTGCAGAAAATTTACAAGATCTCCAAACATTACTAAATCTAGTAGGTGAAGCAAGTTATCACAGAGGCCTTAAAATCAACATTTCAAAGACAAAGTGGATGGCAGTTGGAAAGATCAATATAGATCAAGGTCTGATTTTTCTTAATGCAGAGAAATTCGAAAGGGTAAATCATTTCAAATACCTTGGAAGCTGGTTAAATGTAAATTGTGACTCTGATGAAAAGATGATAACCAGGATCGAAATATCACGTAAGGCTTTTATGACGTGAAAACCAGTTTTAAGCAACAGAAACCTGTCGATGAATATTCGTAAGAAGGTCCTGAAATGTTATGTGAGGTCCATCCTATTGTATGGTTGTGAGACATGGACGTTAAAAACCACAATGCTAAACAAGTTAGAAGCTTTCGAATTGTGGTGCTATAGACGAATCCTAAAGATATCGTGGGTTTCGCACACTTCCAATGAAGATGTTCTTCAAATGATCAATTCAGAACGTCTGCTCATAAACACCATAAAGAGGAGAAAAACAGAATACTTCGGCCATATAATTAGAGGACCTAAATACCATCTACTTCGCCATATAATACAAGGAAAAGTGAAAGGAAAGAGATGGATTGGTCGAAAGAAACGTTCATGGCTACATAATATTAGACAATTGTGTGGTTCCACAGTAGAAGAATTATTTCGCGCAGCAGCCGACAGAGAAAGGTTTCAGGAAATTGTAAACATGATGACGGCCAACGTCTGAATACGGACACGGCCCCAAAGAAGAAGAAGGTTTATGGTCAATTCTGGCGTTGATTTTTCTTCTTCTTCCAGTGTCTGCAATTTGTTTTGAATTAGTGCCTGATATTGGCGTTCATTATCAGGTAAATCGAGCCTTGGAATGTCCTATCTGTTTTCTTGTTGGCGTTGCTTTGGCTGTCTCATCTGTAGCCTTGTTCTCATTTTTGTTCTGACCAGGAAGTGGTCGGAGTCACTATCTGCTCAGACTGTGTGCGCTGATAATATTGCTGGAGTGTCTATCATCGATAAGCTCATGATCTATCTGGTTTCGTGTGATTCCGTTATTTGACACCGTATTTGTACGGTTAACGAAAACTAACCTACGATCGCAGACAATATGTTCGACAGCTTTCTCTACATTCTCGCAGAACCAACATGTTGCTCTGTTACATTTGGATCAATTTTAATCTTCCAATAATCGCATTAAAATGTAGGACGTAAGTGCTCGCCTACGGTCGAGAATTCCGGGTTCACTTTTTTCAGTTTCCGACATAATTTAAATTTTTGTCATTTTTTGTTTATTGCGCTATATTTAATATATTAAATAAATAGAAATACAAGCAACTTTTAAATAATTTCGTTGATAAGAAAAAAACAACCTTTAGAGGAGCGTATTTCTCTTCAAACTGATGCTTCAATGCAATAAAAAATGGAATATTTCACTAACAAAAAGCTGAAACAAAGAAGTAGAAACGCCAAAAAAAACTTAATATATAATCTTAACGCAAATTTTTAACACAGGTAGCACACATAGCAAGTACGTGTTGTAATTATAAACCTGGATATTTTCCACAATGATGACAAAAGTATTTCATTTTTCTGTTCTTTTTTTAATCACACAAATTCCAGCAGCCAATTTAAACCAAATGGAGATCAAATTGGTGGAAATAGTACGCTATCTGACTTGATATCATCAGTAGAAATTCTTAACGTGGCGTGGAGGAACCAGGATTATTACCATTCTTCTTCTTTACGTGCCATCTTCGCCACAAAGGTTGGCAATCATCACTGCTATTCTAACTTTTGATACTACAGCCCAACAGAGTTCAGTTGAACTGCATCTAAACCATTCTCTGAGTTTTCTCTGCCAGGACATTCTTCTTCTACCTATGCTGCGCTTTCCTTGAATATTTCCCTCCATTATTAGTTTTAGGAATTCATATCTGTCACCACGTTTTATATGACCCAGATATTGTAGTTTTCTTATTTTGATGGGGTCCATTATCTCACTGCTGTTCTCTATTTTTCTTAGTACTTCTTTATTATTCTGTCTGTCCAGGAAATTCACAGCATTCTTCGAAATGTCCGCATTTCAAATGCTTCCAATTTATTGAGACATTGTTTATTTTAAGTTAAAATGGTGTCTCCACACCATACAAAAGAACAGAAAATACATAACACTTTAGTACTTATTTTACAGGTAATATACCTATTCTGTATATGATATTAAATAATTAGACAATAACATGTATATTGCAGTCGGCGATTAGTTGCAATATTTCTGTCGGTATTTCGTCTGGTCCCATTGCTTTCCCAGTTTTCATTTCTTTAATTGTGTGTTTACTTCACTCTCTGTTATTTCTGGTCCAGTCTCTTCAACGAAATATTCGTTATCTATTTTGTCTCATTTGTCGTTAAACAGCTGTTCTATATAGTTTGAAAATACTATCAATATGTTTTCTGTATCCATTACGGTGTCTCCCTTTGCATCAACTAGTTTGTTTGTATTCTGGTCTTCTGGTTCTAATTCTTTTATTTTTCTTTGTAAATTAAAGCTGTCGTGTGTATTTTGTAGCATTTCTATTTCATCACATTTTTCTTTTAACCAATTTTCTTTTGCTATTTTAATTTGTCGCTGTATTTCGTTTTGTGTTTGCTGGTAAAATGATTTATTTTTGTCCATATATACTCTTCTTTTGTTCATTAAGTTTAATATTTCGTCCGTCATCCAATCTTCTTTCTTTTCTTTGGTTTTGCGTAGATACTTTTTTGAAGGTTCTATGAAGTCAGCCTTTATTTTTTCCCAGTTTTTTTTGATGTTTTCTTCATTGCATTCCCCTTTAATATGTACGGTGTTTAGTTGTTCATTTATTTTTTCTTTGATATTTTCTCTGATTTCTGGAACTCTTAGTGCATTTATATCAGTTCTTTTTTATTTTGCTATCGTTCATATGTTTTTGATAAATTTAAATAATTTAATAAAACGATTTTTTTAATTTTGTAGCTGCACGAGCCGAAACTCTTGGGAAAAATGCCTACGCTGCCTTGGAGAAATCAGTAAAAACTATTAACTGCGACTACTTGGATTTATATTTGATTCATTTTCCCGGAATTCCATCGCCCAAGAAGGAAAATTATTCAGCTCTGCGCGACGAAAGCTGGCAACAATTAGTTAAGGGTGTCAAAAATGGTTTAACTAGAAATATTGGAGTATCAAACTACAATGTTCATCATTTAACTGAACTAGTTAATAATGATCATGGTGTTAAAGTTGCAGTTAATCAGGTATTGAATATAAATCTTTAACCCTGTATCTGGCAAAGTGTTTAAAAATATATCGTCGCTTAAGATGCAAAATCTCTAAAAACACACTTTTATCGAAATAGTAATTTATTAGCCATTGAGCTTATTGCTTACGTACTTATCCACCTGCAAAATATGGTAAGCCACAATTGCATCGGTTCAAAGAATTTTATCGAAAACAAAAAACTCGAATCCCACATATTTTACTGTAACATCTCGTAAACCACACACCCATCTATACCTTATTTCATTAAGCGATGCAGGGCATATAAACAACGATAAATTTAACAGATATAATATATACCTACTTGTTAAAGATGTTCCAAATGAGTCTACTCGTTCTAAGCAAAACATGATAACTTGCATACACATGGTGCGCATGTGTACTGAACAGCAAACTTTATGCAAATTAAAATGAATATGGACAATATTAAGGTTTCTAAACGTGTTAAATTCTTAGTGCAAGAATGTTTAAAAACAACAGGTCAGCTTACATAATATTGATTACTGTTATAATATCACATATCCAAGACGTTTATTATCAGTTGGTTTTTAGTATGTTTTTGTTAAAAACGTGTAACTATTTAAAACGATTTAATCATGCATCATGTTTAGTTTTACATTATGCCCATATCCATACATTGAACGTGGTCTTTGGTTTTTACCTATTCTATTGTTTTAAATTCACGATAATATGCATTTCTCTACAAATACATAGGGTAAAGTGTGCAAATCGCGGTCACCTAAGAAGAAAATTTAATATAAAAAAAAGTAAAACTCTGTGAATCAAATTTAAGCCATCAATTCGTAATTTGGGGTTTTAACTTATTGCAAGATACATTTAATTTCAAAAATATAAAATTTTTGTCTTTGACAGAGACAAAACATAAAAAAGTATCTTTGACCGGTATTGTCACCATATATGGACAATACCGGTCATGAGTGTGGGTAATGCCAGTCAATTTGTTTGTGTTATTATTAAAATAAAAATCAATATCTATTTGACATTTTTTTGTTATAAAACGATTAACGAATCTGGCTTAATGGGTCATAATTCAAGTAAATCAGTAAGAAAGGTGAAAAAATATTTTTTATTACAAAACAAACAAAAAATAACAAAAATATGTGTTTTAATGTAAAAATAGTTGGCAGTCATCGCAGGTAGGTATAACTCTCTGCAGAATCCCATCCACTGCACTCTGAATAAGCCCATCGTGAGCAAACGGTAAATATATACCACAATTCATTGTTTTTGCCAAACTCGCTGTAAACCAGGCATCTATCTTCGTATGCATCGTCACTGTTATCACATGATATATCAATATCCGATTCCAAAGAACTAGAATCAAACACCTTTTTCTTGTAATGCCAATTACAAGAAAAAGGTGTTTTATTACAAGAAAAATTATCTTGTAAACCCAAATGCTAATTTTCTCAGTTCTATTGCTGTTACGCCATAAAAAATTAAGCTAAATATTTTTTTTGTGTGGCTATTTTAGCTTCTTGTTCGGCAGAAAATACTGATTTTCTACCTAATGAGACACCTTGAAGATTTTTATTTTTTATTCTTTCTTGCAATGTCGAAAAATGGATGGATTAATTCCTAAGGATTAATAGTATAGGGTATAAATTATAGCATGGGGGTAATACCGGTCAACTGACCGGCATTGCCTCCTGTTGGCATTTTTTTTCTTAGAATTTTTTACTCGTAAACATGTATTAAAATATTGATCTTTAAAAAAGGAATAGGCAGCTAACGTCATTATAATCAATTGTAACCAATTTTAAGATCTACAAGTGAATAAAAATGAATTAAGACCTTATATTACTCAGCATAAAAATAAGATCGAAAACACTGAAAACAGGTTAATAATATTTCTATGACAATGGTTTGCGCCAACTCAACGCTCGTCAGCAATCTGAATACAGAGTAGTGTAGCGACACGTTGGCAGTTATAGGAGGTTGCCAGACTGAATAGATTTCGCACAATCGGGATGACCGCCATTACCCACTGACCGGTATTTGCACAGTTTACCCTATATTCAAACGATTTTAAGCAGTGTGTTTGTTTCAGATCAAACGCCTGCTTCTAATGTAAATGTTAAGCAAAAGGGAAAATGTTCAAGTTGTGATTCTATTTTCCCGCCTATTGTTATAACTGTTTCGTCTGCCAATCAAGCTATAGTCCATAATATTTGAAACAAAAGTATACAGACAAATTGCTCTGAAACATGAGAAAACAATGGGACCACGCTATGATTCAAATCAGTGCAAGAAAAGTAAATTACGTGCTTGTTCCAACATTTGAAAGATACTAGGAAAGAAATATTTAACAAATTTTGGAAAATGACATGGGAATTGCAAAAAATTTTTGTGGCTAATAATATTATACGCACATCTGTAAAACGAAGGTATTCAAAAAATGAAACATTATCCAGAAATTTTTCAATGTTTTATACTTTACCAGTTGATGATCAAAAGACCAATGTATGTAAAAAATTATTTCTATCTACTTTATGCTTGGGTGAATTTCAAGTAACCTCATGGGCTAAGAAAGCTAAACACAATATTCACGAATCCAATGTGTCAGAAGAAACAGGAATGAGACAAACACGACCCAAAATGAATAGTGACAAGCAGTTTTTAGAGACGTTTTTAGATGAGCTATCAAAACTGCCATCCCACTACTGCCGTAAAAGTTCAAGCAAATTATATTTAGACCAGACAGTTCGATCTATTACAGCTTTATATATCGAGTATCTGTTGAAGTGCAAAAATGAAGGCAATCAGGCTATGAGTAGGAGAACATTTGACGAGTTATTCCACGAGAAAGAAATTTCTATATATCTGCTCAAAAAAGATAAATGTGACATTTGTTGTCAACATGAAGTAGGGAACCTGGATGAGGAATCTTTTGCCAATCATATTACTAAGAAGGAAAGAGAAAGACAAGAAAACCCAAATGACACCAAGCTAGCTCAAGATGAATCAAGCATCGTTTTAATGATGGATCTACAAGCTGTTAAGGTATGTCCCAGCCTTAACGCAAGTGGTCTATTTTATAAAACAAAATTATTTTGTCATAATTTTACCATAATGAATATAAAGACAAAACATGTTATGTGTTATTTATTTAGCGAAATAGAAACTGATTTGTCCACCTCTTCGTTTCACGGTTTACAGATAGCAACTTGCCACTTAGGGAGAGAGCCCACCAAACTGGCATGGCAAGTGGCAAGTAGAAAGTAGCGCGCGTCTAGCATGTTACTTAAAATGTAACCAATGAAAAGGAATCATTCAGCGTACACTAAAATGACAGTGACGTCATTCATTCTAATCATTCGTTTACATTGGTTACATTTTAAGTAACATGCTAGACGTATGCTACTTGCCACTCGCCATGCCAGTTTGGTGGGCGCTCGTACAGTGTACAGTGATGAATGTACATATCAAAATCGTAATAGTGTCAGGGCAAATCATCGAGCAAAAAGACAGAAGAGGGAATGTAAAGGTAGTGGGGGCAAATATATTGTTAGACAGGAAGTGCGATCTTTAGAGGCTACATTAAACAAGGAAAGAGAGTCTCTCTCCTTGTTTGACATCAAATTTAGTTGGGTTATGTTATTGTTTGTCCCAAATGTCACATGAAATCTTATTTATATTGAAGTTTTTTAACAATTGTGTCGCATTTTAGACTCTTATCATTAATAATTAATTAAAACTTTCTCGTCTAAGACACATTCTGAAAAATATTATATAGCTAATGTTGATAAGTGTCGGAAAATTTAAATTTCGCGCATTCGCATTTCCGGATATGTCCGCCATCAGAGGCCACTTTTTTGGTCTCCTTTTGATAACGATTAGATTCCCTCTTTTGTCTTATTGCTCGATGGGGCAAATGCACTGCTTTTTTGCTCTATAAGTAGAAATCAAATAATTGAACAAAAATACTTAGAACGGGGACATACTCAAATGGAGTGTGACTCCATTCACAGTCTAATAGAAACTAAAATTAAAGGACGTGATATATATCTGCCTTCAACTTATCTTTCTATTACTTGTGAGGCTAGACAAAATCCCTATTCATATGTGGCCGAATGGGTAACGGTTTAAACATGGAAACATCTTCAAGATTTAAAAGCTGTTATCTTTCCTGATTATCATTACTTTTACGATAATATCGAACATTTTCGTTTAAAATATTTTTAATATCTACTTTAGGTATAAATAAAACTTAATTTCGAAATAAAGTTTCAATTCAATAAAACATTTAAACCACATCCTGCTTATCAGGTTAGCAATTCCTAGTAACTCTCTGTTAGACCAAAATAATTTAGAAAATTAATAAAATTATGAATTTTCCAATATTATAATAATATCTTAATACTAAATAAATAATTATCTATTTAGGTTTAACGATTTTCGCATGCAGAAAATGTTTTTTTATTCTCCTGTAAAAAAACCTATTTGGGGGTCGCGAGCTTTCGCATCTTAATCGACGATATATAAAAAATATGAAATTTGAACGAGTTGATACAGAAGTTAATATCTATGTAAATATTACATAACAAATCAACACGTAATTAAAACGAATAAAGAATCCAAAATTTAATCGTACTTAGCATCACAATGATCATAAATGACTTGAAAACTATTAAACATAAAGGTTAGTTTAGAAAATAACTGATTTAACCATCTTCCACCCCAACCCATTTAATAATTTTCCAGTTTAATTTTAGGTAGAGTGGAATCCACGTTATCATCAGGATGATCTCTTAAACTTTTGCAAACAGAATGGAATCCTTCTTCAAGGATACTTCTCAATTGGAGGAACCGGCAATACAGATTTGATAAATAATGTTGAAGTAAAAAGAATTTCTGAAAAATTAGGGAAACACCAGGCACAGGTAAGATGATTTGTTCACAAAAAAATTAAAAGGAAATAGGCTACAACAATAACTTTTAAAATTTTAACTATAGCTTTTAAGAAACCCGTATTACATAAATATCATTTAGATGAGTTTTTATAGAAAATGGATTCCTAATCAAAATTTGTGTGGCGTTAAAATTTCTTGTAAGATAAATTTAATATAAAAATAAAAAATTCATTTTATATAAAAATAAAATAAAGAAATATCATCATGGAAATTATTCAGAACTCAACTTTTCCGTTTCTTTGCTTTAATGTAATTCAAATATGAAATTTATGTTTTAGGTGTTATTGCGTTGGGCCGTACAACAAAATGTTGCAGTTATTCCAAAATCACTATCAAGAAAACATATGGACTCAAATCTAGATTTGAATTTCGAAATACCACAAGCTGATATGGAAATTTTGAATAGCTTCCCACAGAAACTTAAAAATCCCGGTTGGAATCCTGATAATGCTTTATAAATGAAATCGTTTTATGATTTTGTATACACTGAATAAATATCTAAGTATTGAAAAAATTTTATTATTCAGATCAATTATTATACAAGCCTAAACTCCTCCTTTTAAAACTTTCGTGAATGCGTTACTTAATAACGTGCTACTTTCCAGTTTATACAGCAGTGCAAGGCGAAGAAGTGAACATACGATTTTACTTTAGGCAGGCCATTCACGTTCCGACTTGTGGTCCCACTTAGTAGGACTACTAGTTGGATGTTCGTCTCCACTCACGCTCCGACTTTCTATCCAACTAGCGGTCCAACTTCAGTCCTAGGTTGTTTTCACGATGGTGTACATGGCTTAACCAAAAAATGTATCGAATAAACACTACGCAAAATAGAATAATATGATATGTATGTTTAAAAATTAGGTTTCGTTTCTCTAGTTATTTGTCTAGGGCTGAACTAATTAATTTTTCAACTCTTGATTTTTATGACTTTTTAAGATGTATAAATCTATATTTTATTTGTTTTAAACTGGAGCTGGGATTTATTTTGTTGTGTGTGTGTCGTATATTTTTAATAGGAATAATTTTTCGTGCAATTGAAAGTTATTTTCTATTATTTTTTTGCGAACTAGGGATCTTTTGCTACAACTATGATTTAATTTTCATTGTTTGTTGATAATTCTTCCGTAGCCAATCCGGAGTGTCGAAAATTTACCTGTATAGGAATGTTTGAAATAGATTTACAGAAAGGAAAATGATTTGCTTGAACAAAAAGGTAATTTTCGTGCAATTGAAAGTTTATTTTCTATTAAATATTCGCGAACTAGAGATCTTTGCGTAAAGTATTTCATAGAAATCTCATACGTAACAGGTGCCGAAAGTCAACTGACTGAGGAAATTTTCGATCCAACCTGTGATCCGACTTCCAACTTCACCATTCACGCTCCGACTTCGTCGCTAGTCGGAAGTCGGATCTTCAAGTCGTACCACTAGTTTTCCAACTAATCCAACTAGCCCACTCACGGTCCGATTTCAGATCCAACTGCAGAAGTTGGACCACTAGTAGTACCACAAGTCGGAACGTGAATGGCCTGCTTTAGATTAAATTTTATGTCTTTAAATAGAAGTAAAGTGTTCATATCGTAGAAGGACGTATTCCTCTGGATACGATAGCAAAAAGTGACCACCGATAAGAACAATTAAAATCTAATTATTAAAATTTTAGTTATTGAAATAAACAGTAAAGTGGCAGTGGCGAACCAAATTCCGTTTTCTACAATGAACAGTTCACACACACACGGAACACAAACAATCAGTGTCTATTGTAGTATTAGCAGAAATTGCAGGTAAGCAGCAAGTCCACAACCACAACAATTTCCATCATAACCCCAACCAATTTACTAAAACTCAAGAAACCCATCTACTGTAAGACAGACTTTAAACACAAAGCTAAAACTTCTTCTTCTAGTTCCATGACCGTTATCGATTGTTGGATATCATGTTGGCACCATATTCGCTATCGTGACTTTATTGACAGCAGCTCTAAATAACGATGTAGTTGATTTTCCATACCATTGCCTTAGATTCATTCATTCAGCCATGATGTTCTTCGTCTACCAGGACCACGATTACCTTGGATCTTTCCCTGAATGATCAGATGTAAAAGATCATATTTTTCAGGGTGTCTCATAATGTGACCGAAGTATTCCAGCTTGCGTTTCTTTATTATATGGACCAGTTGTGTTGTTTGGCTCAGCCGTCTAAGGACCTCCTTATCCAATCCTAAGGGATTTCTAACTCTGTAAAGCTAAAACTTGCAATTATACATTCAGAAAACTCGGATATAGAGTCTAGCGAAGACGACAGTCAAGAAACCCAAAATAAAAGCTCATGGCAAGTAGTCAAAAAACGTAAATTTTTAAAACAAAGTAATGATCTCAATTATCCAAGCTCACCACCAACAAAAATACAAAATCGATACAGTGCATTATCAAACGCCGAGAGCTCTGAACAGACAGAAACAGAAAATACCAAAACCACTTCCAATATTCGTATACGTCATCAGAAACTTTAAAGATATGGTCGATAACTTTGCAGAAATTGTGGAGGAAGAAACCTACTATACCAGAACTCTGCCAAACGACACTGTCAAGATTACAATAGATACATAAGGTAAACTGATAAGACATTTACGAGAAGAAGAAATAATTTACCACACTTACCAAACAGGGGAAGAATGTGCCTATAGAGTGGTAATAAGACGTATCCATCACTCTATACCCACAACAGATACAACAAAGGAACTAGAAAAAGCCGGCCATAAAGTTCGCAATATAACTAACATTCGACACACACAAACAAAGTTTGTCTTTGTTTTTCATAGACCTTGAACCCAACAGTAACAACAAAGACATATTCAACCTAGAATTTTTATGTCACAACAAAATAGCAGTTGAGGCACCAAATAAGAGAAACTCAATCATTCAATGCATGCGATGTCAATCATACGGCCATAGTAAAACATATTGTACTAAACCGCATTACTGCGTTAAATGTGGAGGACAAAACAACACAAAAGATTGTAAAAAAAACCTAGAAGCAGTCCAGCTAAGTGTGCACTATGCAAACAAGATCACCCTGCTAACTATAAGGGCTGCGTAGTCTACAGGGAACTAGTAGAAAACAGACATATGTAGAAAAGAGAAAACCAAGACCCTCAAAGACCAACATTCAACAGCCCACATATATGTACTGAAACAAATCAGCTAAATACCACTTTACAAAACCATCAAAGAACATATGCAAACGTGACAGCACATCAAACCAACCACGATTCATAACCTAAAACTAATATAGAACATTTCTACTAATATATAATACGTCCTTGGTATTTGGCTCTCACTCCATGCCCTATTACCTACTTTTGTTAGTAGTTCAATGCCCTTGTCGCCCATGTTTTTAAGCATTTCTGCTGTGATTTTATCAAATCCAGCCACCTTACCTTTCTTAAGCTTTTGTGTGATTTCTTTTGTTTCTGCTATAGTTATTTCGTCTTGAATTTGGTCTTCTTGCTCTACCTCTTCTGGTTCTTCTGTGATAATGTCTACATTGTTTTGGATATTCAGTATATTCTCAAAATATTGCTTCCATCTATCTAGGATGGAGTCATTGTCATGCAGTAAGTGTCCTTCTTTTCCCTTATTTGCTTTGACGTTTGTGGAGCCTTTTCGGTTCTTAAATTCTTCAGGGTTTTAAAGAATAACTTTTCGTTAGAGTGGTAGTCTTCTTTCATCTTGTTTCCGAATTCTTCCCAACTTTTCCGTTTCGCTGCTAGTACCATATCTTTGACTTTAATTCTTTGCACTTTGTATATTTGGTAGTTGTCTGCAATTGCGTTCCTTAAATAATTTTTCCAAGCTATCTTCTTGGACTTCACTTCTGCTTTTATTTCATTGTTCCACCAGTTTGGCAAAAAACGTTTTTTTTTGTCAAGTCAATAGACCTATATTTGCAGCATGCTCACCACATCTATGTATATGTAAGCCAATTAATCAAACTGTCATTAATTACAGTTACTCGCACATAGTCTGCTTAAGCAAAGCAGGCTTAAGCCGGCTATCGGTAATCTAACCTAAAAATGTGTAATGACAATATTGACAATGAAGCATTTGCTTACATTTTTCAATAAAGAATTTTACATTTTTGTAAATATTAAAGTGAAATATGTCTGTAATTGACGGCCGTCCTGCACAATATGGTATTACTCTAAAACAACTTCGTAACCTTATGGAATATAGGGGCGCAGATGGAATAGAAAAAATTCAAGAACTAGGTGGAATGCAAGAAATATGTAAAAAATTATACACATCGCCAAGCGAAGGTAAGCCACTATTATTTGTACTATAAAACATTGTTTAATGTCGCCTTGCTTCACTAAATTACTAAAAACCATATTGACAAACATTTTTTTTTTATTTGAACACAAAATCACATCAACCGCGCAGAAATATTAGTGGCTATAACAAATACATGAAATATTACATTAAATACAATTGAATACATTGATGTCTTTTAAATAGCTTAACACTCTTGAAATATTTTTGGTGAGAAATGTTTTGAGATATCTGTGAATCCGTGGGATCTTCTTTTTTCCATGAATTGAGGACAATCAAGCAGGATATGTTTGACAGTCAGTGGGTTAGAGCAGCTGGAGCAGATAGGTAGCGGTTCTTTTGTTATTAGGTATTTGTGTGTTAACTGTTAAGGCAGTATGGCCAATTTTTAGACGATTAATAATGACTTGGTTTCTTCTGTTTAAAGGAGTCTCCAGAACATCAGGTATTTTTGGGCAAATTACATTTAATTTATTACCTAATTTTTCCCAATAATTTTGCCAAGTATTAATACAATGGATTTTAACCAGCTTTTTTAGATCGGTGTACGGATATGTCTTCAATTCTGCAGTATGGTTTGAGTTCATTCGACTTTTGTTAGCCAGTTGATCTGCTTTTTCATTTCCATAAATACCTGTATGTGAAGGTACCCAAATAAAAGCCGCTTCCTTTCCTAATGATCGAAATTTTTTTAGTACGTTTTTTTTATACTCTGTATAATAGGATTATTGGTATATATTTGTTTCAGTTTCAGTAATGCATTTAATGAGTCTGTTACAATAATGCACTTCATCGTTCTACTCTTTTCGAAGAAGATTAGGGCTTCCAAAATAGCTTAGCTTCACCTGTTAGTATACTGCAGTTGTTTGCTATCGATATGCTATAAGAATTTTCTTTACAGTAGTAGGCAACAGCGTGACCATTGGGAGTTTTAGAGGCATCGGTAATATTGAGATCATCTCAATATTTCCGCAAGACCGGGAGCCCATTCTGTCTCCGGCTTCTATATAACATGTAGCTTCTCCTTTTTAAAAAATATTAAAGTGTTTGTTTGTCTTTGTGTATTGTATTGTTATGTCCAAATTTACATGTATGACATTCTACTCATGTCGGATAGGCCACAACTGACGAAATGCCCCTGAAGATGATCTATTGATCGAAAGTACTTGGGCAAGATTTAATTAATCACTGTGTTCGATAGTTGCCTTATATACTATCAAAGTTTAATTATTCGAACATTCAACCTTATATTGACAAACAAATTTGATGTCAATAAAACATTGTTGATTATCTGCACAAAACCGGACTTTTAGGAAAAATTGGTACACGGAGCAACACTGTCGGTGTGCCACATACGCTACTACAAACCGCCGAGGAGAGGTAATCCAGTGGAACAAATAAATTAGTTATAAAACATCGCGACGTTATATAGAAATTTACACTGGTTAATTGCAAAACAGGGAATCTTATTAATTGTATTAAAAATCCTATGTTCCGGAAATAAAATTTCAAATGTGTATGTAAGGAAGGTTCTCCAGTTAGAACTTGCATACTACTAACTGGACTAGTTTTAAAAGCTCCCAGTGCTAATCTCAAAGCTGTAGTTTGAATACTGTTTAGTTTTTTTAGAGTGGTTTTACATGCAGCATCGTAACATATACAACCATAGTCGATTTTAGTTCTAATGAGCGATTTGTAAAGCCTAATTAATATTTAATGATCAGCACCCCAAATTTTGTTGGATAATATTTTGAGTATATTTAATCTCTTTTGACAGGAAAGCTGTAGTTTATTTATGTGCAAATTCCAATTTAAAGTTCTCTCAAAAGTTAGACCTAGAAAGTTTATTTCTTTTGACTGTTTTTAAGGCAAATTATTTAATGTTAGACTAGTTGTGAGGTGGGTTTTATTTTTATTAAAAATAATGTATCGTGTTTTTTCAATAGAAAAAACAAATCCCGTTTTTATCGTGCAATGACAAAGCCGATTTAGGAAACTCTGTATAATTTTAGTTGCTGTCATTACATGGGAATGATTATTGCTTGAGACCAAAGATATGGGAATTCATACTTTAAGAAGCAGGTATTAAATAAATCTAACAGAATTAATTTGGCTCCGAATGGTAAATTTTTTATGAAGACTGGTAGAATATCATCTGGTCCTGCAGATGTATTTTTTATATTTGAGAGAGAAAACTCTTGAAGAGTTATAGAAGCATTTAAGGGGGTGTCAGAGTTGCTAATGTAGATTGTAGAAGCTTCTATGTTTTTCTTGTATGTTAGGGATTCGTAAGAAATATTTTGGTCGCTAGAATTGTGTTGATAGGCATCATCTAAAGCTTCTGCGATTTTATTTTTGCAAGTGATTAATTTATTATTGTGTGTTAAGGTGTTTATATGTCTATAAGAATTGAAGCCTTTAAGTTTACGAATTTTAATCCAACATAATATACTACTTCATTGTTCCACCAAGGTACTGTAGGTCTTTTGCAGAGCTTTGTTTTACCTATATTATTTAAAGCTGCCCCTATAATTATATTGTTTAAGGAGGTAATATTAGAGTTTATATCATCATTTGGATCATAGTTTTCAATTTTCTTTTCAATGTCATCTTGATAAGACGACCAGTTTGCAGTCTCTAATTTCCAGGATTGATAGATTGTAAAATTAGGAGATTGAATTTAATTTAATGATATGCAGATAGGAAAGTGGTCACTGTCGTATAACGATTTTAAAGTATTCCACGTTAGAAACGTTGATAAGGATTTACTACATAATGATAAATCAATGGCGGAAAAAGAGCCGTTATAGGAGTTAAATCTGGTAGGTTCTCCTATATTAAGTAATAGTTGATCAGAAGAGTCAATGTGATGTTTTATTAGATTACCGTATTTGTCTGTTTTAGAGCTTTCCCACGCATAATGATGAGAGTTCATATCCCCTAAAATTATTTTTGGGTGTGGAATTTGATCAAGAAGGTTATTTAGTTCTTGTAGGTCTAGCTCGCTAGGATGTGGTAAATAAATGTTGCATATATTAAGATGTTTTTGGTATATTATACTCACTGCTACAGCTTCGAGATTAGTTCTTAATGCAATTGGCTTAGCTTCTAGGTCTGTACTTACGAAGATATCTACTCCGCCACTGGCCTGTTGTGCTACTCTGTTTTTTGGAAAACATTGATAATTTCGTTACTAATTTTATTGCACCTGGAGGGATTTATTCTATTTAGGTCAATTAATTAAAAAAGTATAAAAATATTTAATAATTTAAATTACTGTTTCTATTGTTCTATAGTACTGCATATAGATTCTTCTTCTTCTTTGAGTACCGTGCCCAAGTATAAGGCGTGGGTAGCTTCCATGACGATTTGCCGATATCGTTCTTGATCTTGCCCAGCATGTAATAATTCATCTGCTGATAAGCCAGTCCATTGACGAAGGTTTCGGAGCCATGAGTATTTCTTGCTACCAATTCCTCTTTTTCCGTCGATCTTTACGTTGAGTATCAACTGCATTATCCTATATCTGCTTCCTCTCATTATATGCCCCAGATATGCGAGTTTTCTCTTTTTTATCATCTTTATTAACTCACCTTCACCTTGACCTACTCTGTTCAAGACTTCTCTGTTTGAAATGTTTTGAACCCATGATATTCTGAGCATTCTACGATATAACCAGATCTCGAAGGATTTTAACATTTCATCATGTTAACTTTCATAATCCAGGTTTCACATGCATACAGTAATACAGGATACACATAACATTTTAGAAACTTCTGTATCTGTAGAGTAGGGAGGGAGAGTTAAGTTTCACAGCACTTAGGCCACAATTGACCCATTGTGCATCCTCCCAGGGAGCTGTCACCCTTAGCTCATTGTCCATCCTGTCATTTCTAGGAAAGTGGACAAGTCACCAGGAGACATCTCACTTATATGGGCAGGTGTGGGCCAGGACTCGTCGAACGCGTACTCTCGTATTAACGATAACTCTGGACATTCACATAGGACATACTCTACAGTTTCGTCTTCTCGTTCACACTTTCTACACAGAGGTGTGTCTACTAGCCCCAGTGTGTGGAGGTGTTTGCTTAGTTGACAATGACCAGTTAAAAAACCAACTGCCAAACGTAGATTTTTCCTGGTCATTCCCAAGTACTTCTTTGATGTTGACTCTTCAAGGTTACTTAGTGTTACCCTGGCAAGTTTACATCCTTTTCTTTCTTTCCATCTTTTTACGGTTTGCGTATGGGAGTGGCATTTGACAATTTCCGCGATTGTTGTAGTTGACCAACCAAAAAGATCCCCAGGTTCTAAGAGTCTTAGGCCTGCCGCCTTCCTAGATAATTGGTCAGCAATGCGATTGCCTTTATTCCTATTACGTCCTTTAACCCACTTCAAGATGATGGTATTACCATCCGAAGCTTGAGTTAGTGACTCGTGTATAGTTTTCCCTGCTATACCTTTTTGGGTTATCTCTTTAGCGGCTATGGAGATACCAGTCAGTTCTGTCTGAGCTACACTGGCATTTTTGCCCATACCCCACTTTATTCTTAGGTTCAGTGATCTGGAGTATATCCCGCATTCTGAGCCTCCTTTCCGCTCCCACCTCTTTGACATATATATCTAGAGGCGTGATGCCAATGATCAACTACATTGCAGCAGTTGGTGTTGTTTTCACGGCACATGCACAAGTTTCACATGGCATTTTAGGAACTTAATTCTCAGTTGTAAATTCAGCTGAGAATTGTTCAGAATAGATCTAAGTTTCATAAATGCTCCTCTTGCCATTTCTATACGAGTTTTACTTTCTTCATCCGGATTTAGTGTCTCGTTTGTCCAACATCCTAGATATTTAAAATGGTTAACTTTTGTTATCGGTTTATTATTGACAATTAGTTATATAGCGCCGAGGTCTTGTTTACTAACCACAAGTAACTTAGACTTTGTTGTATTTATGCTTAGTCCGTTATTAGAGCATTTTCTAGTGACTCGATCTATAAAGAATTGAAGATCTTCGATAGTTTCAGCCATGATCGCGGTATCATCTGCATATCTGATGTTGTTAATAGTTTCTCCTTCGATTCAAAAACCACATTTCTTTGCCGTTTACCAGAACAGAAGCTTCTTGATTCCAATATAGATGTAAAAGTCTCAGATCTGTATCAGCTATTCCAATTATTTATAGATATTCAAACAGCCCTGTTTGAACATGTTGAACAGATATGCACTTTTCCGAATAAACTTCGATTTACTGACGATGAATGTCAATAGGTTAAATCCGTTTTTCATGTAAAAAAAATGACTCAGCATGAATTTTGCATCTGGCGGTAATAGTGACCGAGAGCTCCATCTTCAAAGGCTGTTAGGCCGGTAATGATTGAACAATGCAACGAGGCGAGAGTGGCAGGCAGAGAAAAAGGGAGAGTTGATGAGTAAGTCAGTGTTATTGTTATCATATTTCTCTTAGCACAAACATTTTTCACGAATGACCCTCGTATTTAACCAATGGATACTATTTTTATATTGACCCTTTTTGTTTTAGGACTGCGTGGTACAGAAATAGATTTAGCACATAGGAGAGACACATTTGGATCAAATTCAATTCCTCCAAAGCCTTCAAAAACGTTTTTAAAATTAATATGGGCAGCTCTACAGGATGTTACCCTTATTATTCTAGAAGTATCAGCTATAATATCTTTATTGCTTACTCTTTATCACCCCGTACAAGAAGATTCAGGTGAGTTATGATCTTAAAAAAGAAAGGACTGTTTTTTTTGAGAGTCAGTTTAAAATCGATTTTTACAATTAAATCACCGCCATTTTGAAAGAACGCAACAGAATCATAGAAAAAATGCTTTTGTTATTTAACAAAATGTCGATAACATCATATATGTGACACATGTCAATAAAAAACAAATCAATTATATCACGATGTGGGAATTTTTTTTATTGTTACATTGCATATTTACAATCTACTCTATACACAGAGTAATAAGTAAATAATCTGTAAGTAAATTAACGTGAGTTAGGTACCGTCCAGTGATGTTCTCTAAGTATTATTGCGTTAGGTCTTCTGGCCATACCCTTTTCAATCTTCTTTCGGCAAGTGGTTGGGCGAATTTATGAGTTCGTTGTTGTGATCAGTGGTGTGATTTTTATATTTTATTGCGTGATTCTTTGTTATGTCCTTTGTAACGAACTATTTTGCTTACCTCAGGGTAAGAACACGAGGGAGAAGATTGGGTAAACAAAATAGTCGAAACTAGTACGTACGACACTCATAGGGTTGTTGGAGAGCTGGGTCGTGGATAAGTTGAAATAAATTTGGGTCAGATTGGGGTATCTACTAAATGAAAACAAAGGGATACTTACATAAATCTCCTGGGTCATAAACGAATAAGATATGGCAGACAAATTTACCTCTAGCTATTTATGTTTGGACGCCGCTCTGAAGAAAACTTCCTGCTGGGAGAAAGAAAAAATTCTTCTTCTCTACAATCAAAATTACATAAAAGGATTAGGAGACTTTTCTAAATTAAAACACAAAATGGATCAGACAAACAAATCGAACGTTTATTTTTGTCTCAAACAAACAGTTTTCAAAAATACATATTATACAAGAGCATACTATATAACAAATTAACAAAAACTTACGTGTTATTTGTTTATAAATGAAATGGCTACAAAAATTCTTGAAATGGTTCCTAGGTTATAATATGGCCAAATTAGATTATCAAAAAACTTATGGATATCCTTTTTATGAAAATACTGTAGAATTTAACCTTATATATGAAATATCTTTTATATATAATAATCAAATTGAAATTGTTTTACAACAACAATCGATTAGAGCAAATGTCATATGTCAACATAACATTTTAAATCAGAATGAAATATGACATTTTTTAGCTACGATTCATAACATAATATAAAACTTTAATTATTACAAATTCTTTTATTTTAATGAAAGCAATTATTAAAAATGTCTATATAACTTGGAAAACATAATATATTGAATTGTTACCTTAATTCACAAAATTTTGAACTTAACTTTGAAAAAAGAAAAAACTTGCCAAATCCCTGGGATTGGAGCTGCAAGGACAAATTCTCAAACTGGAACACAGGGAACCATTTCCATACTTAGGAACGACGATCAAATCAGTTTTAGTGAAGGAATCAAGCTAGCAACCGATAACACTGCTGATGGGACATCCTATATACTAATCTTTTCAAAAACTCCACCTGTCTCCGGTACACTGTATAAATCCTCTGATTACTACTCTGTCAAAACGGCATTTAATGCAAAGAGTATTATTATATCATATTCACTGGTCTTAAGACATAACCAAAAAATTGAACCGACTTTGTTTCCAAGTCGACAGACACGAGTTCTTAGCTTGACCGCATCGTTGGGTTGATTTAGCTTGACTGCCTCATTCGGTTGATTTAGCTTGACTGTCTCTAAATTCGACGCCACAATTTCATTTCCCCTTGCGTCTCTCAGGTGCCAGATAACCTAAATAAACAATATCTCCGCCTTATTGCTATCCGTTCTTAATGACGAAAGACATTAAAACCTCTTTTTTTCTTTTTACAACAATATTAGGGGACTTCATGTAATATAATCATTTTCGGTGACAAAAAAATGTTGAAATAGTTACCTTCAAATTGGGTAAAAACAACACGCAGTTAAAACCGGAGTTATTACCTAACATTGCACAAAGATAAAATATATATTTTTGCCTTATCTCGTCAAATAAACTTGAAATATCCTAGCTCGAATATCAATACATTTAAAACCTACATTTAACTTCCCAGAAACAACCAGGGGCGTACTACATAGATTTAAAACCAAAACTATATTAAATATAAAACGCTACACCTTAAGTATTGGGATGACCAGGTCATTGTGAAGTGTTTGGTTAGATACATATTACATACCATGGAGCTTTACTTATCGTACGGAGTATTTTAGATTGAATTGTTTGAAGTATCTTCGTATTTGAAGGTTTACTACAGCCCCATAGTTCTATACCATATGCCCAAATTGGTATAAGTATAGCCTTGTATAGAAGCAGTTTATTTTTAAGAAATAACATACCTTTTGTTAAATAACCAGTTCATATTTTTGCCTTATCTCGTCAAATAAACTTGAAATATCCTAGCTCGAATATCAATACATTTAAAACCTACATTTAACTTCCCAGAAACAACCAGGGGCGAACTACATAGATTTAAAACCAAAACTATATTAAATATAAAACGCTACACCTTAAGTATTGGGATGACCAGGTCATTGTGAAGTGTTTGGTTAGATACATATTACATACCATGGAGCTTTACTTATCGTACGGAGTATTTTAGATTGAATTGTTTGAAGTATCTTCGTATTTGAAGGTTTACTACAGCCCCATAGTTCTATACCATATGCCCAAATTGGTATAAGTATAGCCTTGTATAGAAGCAGTTTATTTTTAAGAAATAACATACCTTTTGTTAAATAACCAGTTCATATTTTTTAGTTTAAGATCTAGTTGTTTCCGTTTAGTTTTAATGTGGGTTGTCCATGTAAGTTTTTTATCCTGGTGCAATCCCAAGTATTTGATAACTGGTTTTATAGGAATTGGAGTATTATTGTTCTATATTGTTGTAAAAGTAATTTGTACTAATTTGCTAGCATTAACACTGATCTTCCATCGCTTAAGCCAGTTTTGTAATTGATCTAAATGATTTTGTACTTTTTGTAATGCTACTTCTTCTTAAAGTGCCCTCTCCTCAATGGAGGTTGGCTTCTACAATTTTAAACTCTTCTCTATCTTCAGCTGTTCTTATTAGCTGTTCAAAATTTAGCCCTGTCCATTGTCGGATGTTTTTGAGCCACGATAGTCTTTTCCTTCCTAGGCCTCTCTTTCCCTCAATTTTTCCTTTCACTATAAGTTGGGCATATTGGTACTTATTATTTCTCAGTATGTGGCCTAGGTATGATGTTTTTACAACTTTTACCGTATTAAAAAGTTCTCTTTCGTTGCCTATTCTATGCAGCACTTCTTCGTTTGAGGTATGCGATTTCCATGAAATTTTGAGTACTCTCCGGTAAATCCACATTTCAAAGGCCTCCAATTTATTTACGGTTGATGTTTTAAGGGTCCACGTTTCAACTGCATATAGAAGAGTCGACCAGACGTAGCATTTTGATAAACGTAGTCGAATTTCGAGTTTTATTCGAGAATCACAAATCTATTGACCTGTTCTAAAATGTGCCCATTTATTGTGCAATATTGAGGTACGTTTTGGTTTTTTCGGATTGACATCACTTTGGTTTTATTAATGTTTATTTTCATACCAAATTGCTCACATGTCGAGTTGGTCTTATCGATGAGTCGTTGTAGACCTAAGTCGGAATCCGCAATTAAGACTGTATCATCGGCGTATCTGATACTGTTGATATTTACGCCATTCACATTGATTCCATCCTTGGAATCCTCCAATGCTTCTTTAAATAGAAATTTGGAGTAAAGATTAAACAGCAGAGGCGACAGAACACATCCTTATCTAACTCCCCTCCTAATTTCTACTTCTGCGGATGTGGAACCTTTGATCCTAACTCTGGCGTTTTGATTCCAGTACAAGTTTTTTACGAATTTGATGTCTTTTCCATCTAAACCGACTTCTTGCAAACGTTCTAATAGTAGGTCGTGTCTTACTCTATCAAATGCTTTTTCGAAGTCTATAAAGCATATAAATATATCTTTCTGTTGGTCGTAGCATTTTTGGGCGAGAACTAGTAAACTGAACAGGGCTTCCCTAGTTCCCATGCCGGCTCTGAATCCAAACTGATCGTCTCCACGTCTCCGATGATTGTTTCGCACTTTCTATAAATACGATTATGTACGATTTTTAGTAGGACTTTTACTGCATGACTCAGACTCAGGCTTATCAGACGGAACTCATTGCAGTGTTGTGGGTTTGACTTTTTTGGTAGTGGGATGAATATTGACTCCAGCCAATCTTGGGGTGTTTTACCTGTATCATAAATGCGATTGAATGAAAGGACAAATATTTCGATATTTTCTTCGCTGATTAATTTTAACTTTTCTGGATATATTCCGTCTGGACTTAGGCTTTTATTTGTTTTGAGATGATTAATTGCATTTATGATTTCAGATTTCAGAATTGTTGGCCCTTCGTTGTTATTTTCCAATTTTGGTTCTTCTCGTATGTTGTGAAAAAGAATTTTAATATAGTTTTCTCATTCTTTCAGTTTATCTTCCGTTGATTCTAGTAGTTTGCCATCCGTGTTCAGCATGGTGTGAAAAGTCGTTCTCTTGGTAGTCGATGTAAACTCTTTTACCTTTTTATGTAAATTAAAATAATCGTGCCTTTGTTGCAGTTTTTCTATTTCAACGCATTTTGTTTCCAGCCATTTCTCTTTTGCTTCGGTTATTTTTTTTTCGAATTATTCTATTTAGTCTTTTGTATTCTCCGTCCTTGTCATTTTTTCCTTTAGATTCTCTTCGTTTGTTCATTAATTGTAAAATCTCTTCTGTCATCCATTCCTGTTTGTTATTTCTAGGTGTTACTTTTAGATGTTTTTCCGTTACATTGTTCATTTGTTCTTTAAATTTTTGTTTAATTCTTTATTTACTATCTGATGTTTGGTGTCGTTTTTTCAATAATTGGATGTCTAATAGTTGGTGTTGAGGTTTTTGTTTCTTTATTAGATTCCATCTTGCGCGAACTTTTGCAACAACAGGATTATGATCGGAATTGATGTCAGTTCCAGGATATGTTTTTGCACTGATGATTGCATTGTGATATCTTTTGTTGACCAATATGTAATCTATTCGGTTACGGATTGCTCTGTTTTCATTGTGTTGTGGTGCAGTCCAAGTGTACAATCTGCGAGGGTGTAATTTAAACCATGTATTTATCGCTACCATGTTGTGTTGTTGGCAGAATTCGGTCATTTTCTCTCCCCTGTCCTTCCTTGCTCCAAGTCCGAAGTCTCCGATCAATCAAGAAACTTTTCCTCTTCCTAACTTAGCATTAAAGTCACCTAAGATAAATGTTAGGTCTCGTTTTTTGGTCATCTTTATAAGTTTTTCTACGTCAGCATACCACGCTTATAGCTCTTCTATGGGTTTATCGGCCGTAGGGGCATAAGTTTGAATGATGTTAATATTTACTGGCTTTCCGGATAGTTTCATAAGAAGACATCGGTCCGAAAATGGCACAAAGTTTGTGACGGCATTGTTATATTTGTCTTCTAAAATTACTCCAGCCCCGTTACGATGAACCGGATCATTATTACCCGAGTAATAGAAAGTTTTGTTCATGGTTTTAACTTTACCTGAACCTGGCCATCTAACTTCACTCAAACCCAATATCTGCAACCCTAAACGTTTCATTTCGTGGCATGCATTTGCTAGTTTTCCTGTTTCGAACAGACTTCTAACGTTCCATATTGCAATCTTAAAGTTTGTATTTAAAATATTTAGGCTAAAATATTTAGGCTATGCTACATGCATTTAGGTAATGCTACATTAGGGTCGATATCCATTGCCAAGTGGATGTCGATCACAAGATAAGAGAAGGGAGTATTCCAAAAATGTCGTCAGCCTTAGAGCGGCCACCCCACTTTCGGACTACGGTACGTATGACAGTCAACTGCGCACAAGCAAGAGAGGGTGGTTTCAGTTGGTAGGTAGGATAATAGATACCTGAATCTTCGGCATTGCTATCTTTAGTACTTTAAATTAAACTAAAACCCAAATTTTAGGGACTATAAATTAAGGTAGCATAAAAAAATTCCAAAACCCCCCCTCAGACAAATTTTGGGTTGGAGAAAACCCCCCCTCTGGTTTTCCGTTTGTAGATTTGCATTGTTGCTTTTTAATGCATCGCTGTATTTCTTACTTACAATATTTACAATAGCGTTTTCTTTATTTTTAGTTACTCTTTGTTCTGGAAGATTTGGTAGGTTGACGTTTCTTCGTTCTAGTATTTCTATTTTTTATTTTCTGCATCCCTTTTGCGACAACACACAATCTGTAGTTAGCAGAATGCTTATCACCACAATGAAAGCATTTTGATTCTGCATTTTTTGCCTTTCACAATCTATAGTTAAATGCTTTTTCATGTATTTAACACATCTTGCTTCATTGGCACAGTATTTCCAAGTATGCCACAATGTAAGAAATGCTTGGCATCTCTTACATTGTGGCACTAATTTAGGGCACTAAATTGGCTGGATCTCCACTCTAATCCCAAGAAGTTCTTCGATGAATCTTTAATCTAAGTTCATATGATTAACTATACAGAGTATCGAGAAGTCGAGTTGAAATATTTGCTCCTACTACTTTCTGTAGCTTGAGATTTTTTGGGGCAGCTCAGAAATACTAATATTATTTTTTTTTTATTTCAGAAGGTGATGATGACGAAAAAAATTATGGATGGATAGAAGGACTAGCAATTTTAATTTCTGTTATAGTAGTGGTACTTGTAACAGCATTTAACGATTATTCTAAAGAAAAGCAGTTTCGCGGATTACAAAATCGAATAGAAGGAGAACATAAATTTGCAGTAATTAGACAAGGAGAAGTCAAACAAATATCGGTTACTGAAATAGTTGTAGGTGATATTTGCCAAATTAAATATGGAGACCTTTTGCCGGCAGACGGAATTCTTTTACAATCTAATGATTTAAAGGTACCTAACTATTTTTATTATTTTTGTTTTAAAAAATAAGTAGCAGATATAAATAATTAACGTAATTAAAGAATTATCGGAAAAAACGGATCTGTCATATCAAGATATCTTTAACCAGCGATCACTCGCGCAGTGAGTTATTATTACTAGAGATATTGGCGACCACATTGGCCCATCTTATTCTATTCACAGCAGCTCGAAATAAATCAGTTGACGTTAGACTTAGAGCAGTTTGGCCCTCCCAAGATTGGCCAGCCAGGATATACGTCTACGTCCATTAACGTCCTACGTCGTTACTCGCTGTTAATAAAAAGTATGGCTCTGGTCATACAAAATTGTAGTTTTTATCATACGGTGCTTATAAATAGGCTCAAAACCTAATTCTTTTTCTCCTTCTGGTTCCTATCCGTTTCGGATATTGGAAATCATATTGGCAATCATAACCTTGCTCGCTGCGGCTCGAAACAGCTCCGTTGAGGTTTGCTTAAACCATGTTCCTAAATTCCGCAGCCATGATATTCTCCTTCTACCGCGTCCTCGCTTACCTTTGACTTTATCTTGCAATATAGGCTGTAGCAGGGAGTTACCGTGCTGATTTCTCATAACGTGTCTCAGATATTGCAATTTTATGCGTTTGATCGTAAACACAATCTCTGGTTTCTTCTTCATTTTTCCTAGAACTTCCTTGTTCGTGATCCTTGCTGTCCATGATATTCTCAGCATTTTTGTATAAAGCCACATCTCAAATGCTTCAAGTTTTTTAATAGTGGTGTCTGTAAGCGTCCATGCCTCCGCCCCCTACAACAACACAGAGAAAACATAGCATCTCAAATGTCTCATTTTTGTATCAAGGGATATGTTGTGACTTTTGAAGATGGCGCTCATTTTGTTAAAGACCGTTCTTGCCTTTCCTATGCGGCACTTTATTTCCTGTAAATTGCTCCACTGTTCGTTAATAATAGTTCCCAGGTAACAATACTATTTTACTCGCTCTATCTGCGTCCCATTAATGTAGAGATAAGCCCCAAATGGGGCACAAAACCTAATACACACAGGTAATTTGTAAATCTGTATTATTTAATTGGAGAAAAAGAGCATCTCTGTTTTCGATGGGTACCAATTCATTAACAATGGAATAAAAAACATCGGAGAACAACTAGAAGATCCAGAAAATATGGAGTGAATTTAAAAACCTAGTTAACGAAATCTCCACAAACAATGATTATAGAAAAAACTTAATCAAGAAAAATAAATGAATGACAGACGACATCTTGAAATTAATAAAACAACGTTGTCTGATAAAATTCAATGAAACAGAATATAGACACCCGCAAAGAAGAATCAAAAGAAGATCAGATTAGCCAAAGAAAAATGGATGAAAAAAGGGAGCGACGAAATGGAGGATGTAATATTTAAACACGACTTATTTAATGTGCACAAAAAACTAAAAGAAATGAGTAACATATTTAAAAAACTAGTTCCCTCTGTACTCGTTGACAATAATAACATAATTATTGTAAATGAGCATGAACTAAGAAAAGAATGGCAGCTGTATATATGAGAGTTGTTTGAAGATGGCAGAAATAATATTGTCGAATTCTACCAAAACTGTACCGAGGACAATGAAATGCGAGGTAGAACATGCTATAAATAATGCTAAAATTAGAAAAGCTTGTAACCCAGATGATACACCAACTGAGTTCTTTCTTTTATTTTTTTTATACATATTAAATGAATCATGTTTTACCTGTAACTCTTTAATTTCTAAACATTTGTTTTCGAAGTATGTTTGTTTTGCAGCTCTTATTTTAGTCCTTATCTCTTTATTAATTACTTTATACATTTTGACGATTTGGTTCTTAAAATTGTGTCTCTTTTCCAACAAATTCAAAATTTCATCATTCATCTACTGTTGCTTTTTTGACTGCTCTCTTTTAAGTTTGAAGTTGAGTTGCTTATAATTATTTTGATTTGGTTCCAATGACCCTCGAAGGATTCTTGTTGTTCATAGTTCTCAAAATTGCTCTCTAAATTGTTTGCAATCATCTGCCTATTGTTTCTAATAAAATCCATATCCAGTTTGTTATAGGATCGTTGTTGTTTTATCCGTTTAAGTTTTAATTTTATTTCGGCTAACAACAGGTTATGATCAGATGGAACATCGGCACTAGAAAAAGTTTTTACAGACTTTACTGCATTTCTGTAACGCTCACTGATAGTTATGTAGTCAATTTGGTTTCTAACGATATTACGGGGAGTGTCTGCTGGAGATTTCCATGTATATAATCTCCGTTTAGGTATTTGGAAAAAGGTGTTGATGTGTGAAAAATCATTATACATAGGTTATGTTCTTTGCAAAAATCTGTGATATAATCTCCTCTTTCATTTCTATCGCCCAGTCCATATCTAATGATGTTACTTTGTCTGCCTTTTCCTATTGTTGTATATTTATATTGTTCTAATTTATTTGTCTTTATTCTAATTTATTGTCTATATTCTAATTTATTAAAACTCACGATAACTAATTACGAATTTATTAAAGTCTTTATTAATCCTAATTTATATTACAAATAATTTATTTTCGTTTCGTTACAATTAAATCGCGTTTCCCGATCTTCTTATGACTGACCGCCAAATAAAAAATCTTTCATTTATATAAACAACTGTTTTCATCTAGAAAATTCGGCGAACTTCTTGAATAATCTCGTATTTTGGTGAAGGCGCTCGACTCATTTTTCAACTGTTCGAAAAGCCTCGAGACGTGGATTACTCATAAAATTAGGGTCTAAAGGTTTCTGTAAACAACTTCGAATTTACTGGAACAGAAAACAGAATTAGTCATAATATATTGATAGTTATAAACGCCATAATTATCGTAACACTATCTTAGCATTAAGGTCACCCATCAGAATAGTAAGATCTCTAGTCTTGAGTTGGTCAATAACAGTCTTTACATCGGCGTGGAACTTTTCTGGAAAGAGCTTATATAATTAAGATAACAAGCAGCTGATTATGCAATATTTTCATAATACCACTATTCTGTTTTTCTGATGTAATTTTTTCAATGAGGCAGTCATTATACAGAGTTTATAAGACTTTCATAATGCATTAATTATTATTTAACGATTTTACAGATTATGTAATACTAAGTATTTTACTTTAAGATAGATGAGTCTTCGCTTACGGGTGAATCAGACCACGTCAAAAAGGGAGAAACTTTTGACCCAATGATACTCTCTGGTACTCATGTTATGGAAGGATCTGGTAAGATGTTAGTTACAGCCGTAGGTGTTAACTCGCAGGCGGGTATTATCTTCACATTATTAGGAGCAGGTGTGGGTCAACAAGAAGATGGAAAAAAGAAACCGAAGAAAGGTAAGCTATTTGTCATCACACCTTCGTGTACATGTGGGTTCATATCTTTACCAATTCAGATTCTGTCTGTTTTCTATATACGACTCTGTCTGTTTTCCAATGTGTCTCAAGTAAGTTGCCATTCCATCGTTTTCGTGGTCTTCCTACTGATCGTCTTCGTATTCGGGAACCGTCTCTTGTCGTCTTTACTACTCTATTTGTTGTCAATCGGCTTATATAATCGTTCCATCCTACTCTTCTATTTATTACCCAGTCCTTGATGTTCTCCTACAGTATATCTGTACTTCTAGCACTGTCTCATATCAGGTTATTTTAAGTTGTTTTTCTCCCATTGGATATTCTTTTTTATTTCTTACTTTTTTTATTATTTAATCCATAATGTTTGAACAATAGAGGACTCAGGAATTCGCCATGTCTTATCTTATTGCCAGCTTCAATAGGGTCAGCTAGTTTTTCTTCTACTTTTACTTTTATTGTGTTATTATGTGAGATTACTTATATAAGTGAGATACTGAAGGTATCTCTCTTGCGAAGGTATCCCGTGTGGGGTATATTCCCCCATCGGGCGCGTCCTCGGGTGGCGGATAGGGAATTCCTCCCAGATATGGGTGGTACCGGGAAAATAAAATACCCGGCGTGGACCAAAACTAGCAAAACAGTAGCGTCTGATCCAGAGTGGACGGCTACGAACAGCGTCTGACCCAGAGTGGGCGGCTGATACAGAACTCACCAACCTGTCTAGCAAGCGAGGTGTTTTAATGCCAAAAATCTCTCTTCAGGAACCATGTCTAATTATGAAACAAACGGAATAGGACCACAAGTGGGTAGAGTTACTAACTTGGAATCCCACACCGGGAAACCGGTTCGCCTCAAGGATTCTCAGGGAGGCAAATATTTGACAAAAATAAATGTATGAACGTAAAACATCAGATCCATGAAGGAAGACACTAAAATCCATGAACTAGAGGAAGAACTGACTAAAATACAATGGGTTATTATCGGCATATCCGAAGTAAGAAGAAAGGGAGAACAAAAAATATAGGTAAAATCAGGAAATTTGCTATACTATAAAGCTAATGAAGAAAACACCAACAGTGGAGTAGGATTTATAATAAATAAAAAAGTAGTTAATTACATACAATCTACCAAGGTCATATCAGATAGAGTAGCATACACGACGCTTATATTAAAAAGAACGTCCTTAAAAATCATACAGGTGTACGCTCCAACAAGTACCTACAGCAATGTAGATATGGAACATTTCTACGAAGACATAACAACAGCTATGGACGAAAAGAAATCAAAATTAACGCTAATAATTGGGGGCTTCGATGCCAAAATAGGAGAACAACTGTATAAAGAAGAGGACAAAGTAGAACATCATGGATACGGCAAAAGAAATGATAGAGGACACACATTGATGAATGGAGAAGCAACTATATGCAATGAATACATTCTTTAAGAAAAAACCCCAAAGAAAATGGAGATAGATTAGTTAAAATGGTGAAACTAAAAACGAAATTGATTATATTTTTTTAATGCAAAAATCCATGGTTAAAGACGTAACAGCCCTAAATCGCTCCTCAACTGGTAGCGACCATAGACCAGACCGAGCCAAGCTGATCATTGATAGTAGATTTGAAACAAGAAAGAAAATAAAAATTTATCAGAAATTAGACATGGAAAAACTAAAACAAGAAAAACAGATGTACTAGGAGAGAATAAAGGAAATATTGCTGATCAAGGAAGATATAGAACACAAACATATCGATGAAATAAACATGATATTTATTGAAACTCTAATGAAAGTGGGTAAAGAAATAGCACAGACAACAACAAAAAAAAAAGTTTCATATCCCAGGAAACAAAGATTCTTATGAACACAAGAAGAACAGTACTAGAACAATGAGACAGAAATAAAATGGAATACAAAGAAATAAATAAAACTATTAGAAAAAATATCAAGGAGTGTAAACGGAGAGTACATGAAGAAAAGATCGAGAAAAAAATTGAAAAAAATAGAAACATGAAGTGCTTAAAGCATAACCTGGGAAACATACAAATTAATAACATAAAGAACAAAGAAAGAGTGGGGACCAACAATATAAAAGAAATTTTACAGATAACGCACGAATATTATACAAATCTCTATAAAACAGAACAAAAACCAACCCAAGAAATCCATAGTCAGTTACAACTGAAAATAAAGAACGTTAACTTTGACCTACAACCAGAAATCTGTAAAAATGAACTAAAATAGGCACTCAAAGAAATGAAGAAGAATAACAAATCTCCTGAAAAAGATGGAATAACTGTGGAAATGCTAAAAAGGGGGGGGGAAACTACAGTGGAAGTCCTCCTTTATGTCCTAATTAATAAAATATTGAACACATAACAAATACCCACCACATGGAACAAGGCAATAACACTATTACTATTTAAGAACGGCGATAGAACAGATTTGAAAAACTATAGGCCCATATCGCTACTTAATGATATATACAAACTGTTAACTAAACTATTCACAAACGGATTAACAACTAAGTTAGATAATTACCAGTCAAGAGAGCAAGCCAGTTTTAGAAAAGGATTCAGCACAAGCGACCATCTGCTTACGATAAAAATATTAAGTGAAAAGGCTAACGAATATCAAATCCCAATGTATATGGCATTTGTAGACTTTGAAAAAGCTTTCGATAAGGTACAACATTGGGCAGTAAAGAACTCTTTATAAAATGGGAGAATAGACTATAGATATATGGACTTAATTTCCAATATACACTACTCAACAATTGAAGTTGATAATTTTAAAATTCCTAAAATTAACATATAAAACTATTTTTAAAATAATTGTATTGTACTACACTCTATATGCTATCTTTATTGCCAATATTTTTTGCATGTGGTGTTTTCACCCTATTCTTATCGCCTCTTATCCCCCTATTATACTATAGGGGCTAATATCCGCTATTATTGACAACTTACCAGTTGTCAATAAGTGAAGAGTTCTATTTATCACAAAAACATTATGACGCAAAGACATTTAGAACTAGTGCAGCTCGAGCAATTATTTCGTTGGATCCAACAAGGCATAACTCAACAAAAGGTTGCTATATATGAGGCTAAATGTGTCGCAAAGTGTGATAAGTCGTGCATAGAATCGGTAGGAGGAATGGAGGAGGAAGAGAACGATCTACAATTCGTCGGCAAGACCGTTTTGTAGTTCTTACGGCAAGATTATCCAACATTCACGGCTTTCAGAATTAACAGTATCTTCAGGCATGCTACTGGACGAGCGATTTCCAGTCAAACTGTCAGAAGACGGTTACATGCAACCTATTTAAGGGCTAGACGGCGCGCTACCCATCCATGACTAACTAGGGAGCAGCGTGCATGCAGGTATCGCTGGGTGATGGAACACTATCAGTGGAATTTCGAAAATTGGAGGAATTGTCTCTTTAACGGCGAGTCCAGATTTCGTACGTTTGTACACGAATGACGGCCGAATATTGGTGTGGAGGGAAAGAGGACAGCGTTACAATGAAAATCTGCGAGTCCCAAAAACTCTTTTGGAGGTGGATCCATTTGCGTGTGAGGAGGCATATGTTTTAACGGTTGCACGGATTTAGTCGTCTTAATTCATGAGACAATGACTGCTACACGGTATCGAGACAGAGTCATAGTACCAACACTTGTTCCATTTTTCGGTGCAATAGGCGAAAAATTTGTTTTGATTGATGATTATGCTCGCACTCACCGTGCGAGAATTGTCAACGAGTGTATAGAAGCTCATTGCATTACAAGAATGGAGGGGGTCACCATGTTCACCATGACAAAGAGAAGGATATGGTTGGCTTCTGTATCTCTTGGAAAACTTTCCTATATACTAAAAAATAGAAAATACCCCCAATATTAAAAAACAAGAATATTTAACCAATGTTACCAATACTTTCTGTTCTCACCTACGGTTCTCAAACTTTGACGTTCACAAAGGAAAACATGGAAAAAATAGCAAAGAGCCAAAGAGCCATGAAACAGACAAGAGAAGAAATACTTGGATCCGCAACAAAATAAAAATGACCGATGTATCAACGCAGATAGCAGAACTTAAGTGGAAGTTCGTTGGACATACCATAAGACAGAAAGACGACAGATGGAATTATATGATTATACACTGGAGACCATATAGCTACAAACGAAAAAGAGGAAGGCCACAAATGAGATAGTCAGATGACTTGAAGAAATACGCAGGCCCGAAATGGATACAAACTGCCTACAATAGAGAGACGTGGAAAAAGGAAGAGGAAGCCTATGTCCAAAATTGGATTGCAAGGGCTGTATAGATAGATAGATCTCTCTTGCGTACTGTATGTGGGTAACTTCCTTTAGTTTGACCAGGTCAAATGCCTTCTAAAGGTCCATAAAACATATATATGCCGGTGTGTTGTATTCTCTTGCACTTGGCTTATTGTAAATATAGCGATAGTCGGTACATGATATTTCCGACCTAAAACCTTGTTGTTCTTCTGCTAGTGTTATAATTTCATTCAGTTTATTTGTTATTACTTTGGTTGTTAATTTTAGTGTTGTGTTTGAAAAATTAATTCCTCTGTAATTTTCCGGGTCCGATTTGTCTCCCTTTCTGGGGAGGCATTAGGATACTTAATATCCATTCTAGAGGAATTTTGTTTTGTTTTATTATTTTTTGGATTAATTTTAGTAGTTGTTTGGTCAGATCTGGTCCTCTTTCTTCGTTTACCCTTACTTCTGGTGTTGGTGGTTCATTATCGCCACCTTTGCAAAATAGGGATCGAAAGTAGTCTGCCCATGTTTTCTTCTAAACATGATTTCTTTTCTTTGTCTTTCTTTCTATTTTCCATAGACGTCGTGTTCTTTTTTATTTAAAATACAGACTACTATATTATTAATTACCCAAAACTTGCTTAATGATAATTAAAATTAAACGAAAATGTATATTAATCTAGTTTTAATAAAAACAAGAACAATGCCAATATTTTTCCAGTTACCAATCAAATAAACCATACGTGAACTTTATTTATATATAATATATCAGGTCATGATGAAAGCGTAGCTGAAAGCAGCCATGTAGACAAAGACAAGATAGATCCAGGAGTTGCCAGGAAAGAATTCGAGGTTGATGCGTCTGCACAAGATGTCAAAGTCAGAGGCGTCCAGTCTAAAAAACTTGCTGAAGAAAAATCCAAAAAAGAAAAATCTGTACTTCAAGCTAAGCTTGCAAAACTCGCCCTACAGATCGGTTATGCTGGAACCTTCATTGCAGCTCTCACTGTTGTCATTCTGATAGTACAATTCTGTATCAAGACCTTTGTCATCAAACGTCAACCATGGAAACACGCATACGCTAACTATTTTGTTCGTTATCTTATTATTGGTGTTACTGTACTTGTAGTAGCTGTTCCTGAAGGATTGCCGCTGGCTGTTACCCTGTCTCTAGCTTATAGTGTCAAGGTAAGTGCTAATTACTCCTTTTATATATCTTCTTCTTTAAGTGCATCGTCATGATAGACTTTGGCAACCACCAAGGTCAACCTAGCTTTCGAAGGAATTGTTATAAGTTCATTTAAACAGAATAACTGTATTACTCCCTTAATCTCTTAACAGGAGTTTCTTTAATTTTTAAAAGTTTATGTTAAAGTTTAAGTGCTTCATCTTGTAACTAAATCTGTAATTTCTAGAAAATGATGAAAGATAACAACTTGGTTAGGCATCTTGATGCCTGTGAAACTATGGGCAACGCTACTGCTATCTGTTCGGACAAGACCGGAACTTTGACTACAAACAGGATGACGGTTGTGCAGTGCTATATATGTGAACAATTATGGAAAACTATGCCTAAGTTCAATGATATACCTACACATGTCGGAAGTATTATCATTCAAGCTATTTCAATAAATTGTAGCTATACTTCAAGAATATTGGTAAGTTTGACATTAGGATTAATTAATATAGAAATACACTTCTTCTTCTTCAACCTTAAGTAATCCAACTTTGGATATAGGTATCCCCAAAATCAATCCGGTGTTATCTATTTTACGCCTCTTGCTTCCAGTTGTGTCCGATCTTCTTAATATCATCCGCCCATCTTATTTGTGGTCTTCCTCTGCTTCTCTTTCCTAACCATGGTTTCCATTGTTGTATTTCGTGGTTCCATCTCTTGGTTCATCCTTCAGTCGAGCATTGTGTCCTGCGAAGCTTCATTTTAATTTGGCAGCATGTCCTCCTGCATCTTTTACTTTGGTTTTGCTTCTAATCCATTTGTTTGTTTTTTTGTCTATAAGTCTCACCCCGAGCATTGACCTTTCCATCGCTCTTTGTGCTTTTACTATTTGATCCATGTTAGACTTGGTGAATGTCTACGTCTGTGAGCTATACGTGAGTATAGAGAGGATACACTGATCGTAAATTCTGGTTTTCAAATACTGTTCTATTTTAGTGTTTTTCAAGATCCAACTCAATTTTCCAAATCCTGCCCACGCTAATCTTATTCTCCAGGTAATTTCGGCAGTTTGATTTTATTTGTTAACTTTCATCTGCGGCGGCTGGTGGCCTAAAAAAGTGGTGAAGATAAGGAAAGCTTGCCGGAGCCAAAAGGAGTTTTGGTACCTACTTCGCGCCCAAATCTCATTAAAAATTCGTTAAAAAAATGTATAGAGTTTAGGGTCCTAATAACTTGAAAACAGTTTTTTAGGGCACTTATACTACATGCGATTCATTATGCTTGCCTGGGGTATTTTAGTTCTGAAACTTGACATTTCATTGAGGGTTTTTGGGCGATTAAAACACCACACCTGCTAAAACGGGTTGGTGAGTTTCGATTCACCCGCCCACTCTGGGTCAGATGCTGATTGCACCCGACTACTTTGGATCAGAACAGATGTTTAAAATACTGGTTGGTCGACCATGTAAAAGAACATCCCTTTTATCTTTATTTTTCCAATGCCTAAACGGAGTCTGATATATTACACACCAAGTCATTAATTTAATTCATGTCTCTCTAAAATTATTTTTGTCCAAACGAAATCCTCGAGAACACTTTATATCCAAAATCCCAAACAAACCACAGATAAATGTATTAATAAAGTGCACTAAACAAATAAAATTAATACTGTGACTAAGCTAAACTAATAAATACTATATATACTATACACTATAATATATAAAAATATCTATATAATAGACTAAATTTCAAAATATTGTCGCTGAGAGAAATTTCGGAAAAATACTAATACCGAATACACATCCAACAGTGGTATAGTCGGACAATTTTCAATTAAAGGTGACTAATCTACAATTTGAACTAAACGGTAGCGGCAACCATGAAAAATTTCATTAGTAAATTCTTACCGGGGTCATTTTTATTGTGTATGCTTCGCCCATGTAAATATGTAAATTTGTAACCCATCTAAGATAAATTTGCCCCCGTAACAATATAAATTGGTGCAATTCACGAGTGTATAGTGAGACGTTCATAGAATAGTTTGAAACATCGGTAAAATTATCAATATTTTGCTGTTCTAAATATATTTACGTTTTTAGAAAGAATGTTAATTAGAGAAATATGATATCTTAGCTTATTGAAGTTTATGAAATATGATATCTTCTAGATTTTATACATATGTGCATAGGCGTAGTGTATTATTGGGAATATATTTATTAAACATACTTTATTATTAACTTTAAAATAGTCTTGAGGAAAGTAAAGTAAATTTGAGGCTATTTTATTCTTTATATAGTATTAAACCCTTAACGGCCGCTCAATATACAAAGAGAAATTTGACAATTAATTTATTAGATTGGATTAAAAACACAAATTAGAAATAAATTACAACCAAAAAGATTGTTTTCTCATTTTTAAGGAAAACAGTACAATTTATAATAAAGGAACATATTGTATCTTAAACGTAAATTAAATTTTAAGGTAAAAATTTTCGAAATATTCGGGGTGTAGATGCATTGTACACTTTTTACATAAATAAATAGTATTACTTTTGTACATCCTACATTTTTGCACTATCGTCTCTTTTTATAATGTGCCCAATATTGTCGAATCTGGTTTCATCTGGTAAAGCAAATTTAGATTGACGCCCATGTACTGACACTGATGTAGCGGTTTCTTCACTATTATAAATTAAAATTATAAATCTATGTCGGCTCATGCTTTCTCTTATAATATGCACTTCTTTATCCTCATCCTTTGACCAATGCATATAAATTTGAAGCAGAGTGTAAACCAGATAATATACATGCTAATAATTTTTTTAAATCTATGTTATTCATTTCAAAATTGTGACGGTTATTCTCAATTACTTTTTTATCAAAAACAGTGAAAAAACTTCAATATATGACTTGTCTACATGGTTGGCTTTTATATTGTCTAAATATCAATCAGACTGATGTTGAATTATTACTGAGCACGAAAGAATATCCGTTATTACAACTTGAGATAAATTTGGATTTACTATTTTTGCCTGGTTTTTTCTTTGGACGTTTTATCTGTGGTTCAGAGGAATATCATAATCAGAATCGTTAGAATTTCCAATCACTTGTATTTCATATGTACCTGCAATATCCGATTTTATTGATTCTTCACAAATAATATTATCATCAATCTCTTCAAGGAATACAATAATATACCAGCAAACGAATGGGAAAGATACCTGACGGAACTGTTTAAAGCAAAGGAAAATAATGATCAACACAATAACGTACCTGAACTAAGAGACGAAATAGAAATCAGTTTTCACGAAGTAGAAATAGTCATAAATTCACTCAAAAATAGAAAGTCACCAGGACCAGACGGAATAACCAACGAGCTTCTAAAATACGGATGAGAAAGTTTAACCCTAGAGATGACAAAACTTATACAAAAACTAATATTGCACTGCAACATACCAGACGCATGGAGAAACAGCATAATGATACCAATGGTCAAGAAAGGAGATAAAGAAGACCCCAATAATTTTAGAGGTATAAATCTACTGAACACCGCACTTAAGCTTACCACAAAAGTCCTAACCAACAAAATCAATAAACTAACAACTTTATCAGATGAACAACAAGGATTCAGATCCGGATGATCCTGCGTAGACGCCGTATTTGTACTGACCTGACAAAGGCTTTCGATCGCATCCAAGTCGAAGACGTCTTACACCTACTGTATAAAAGGAACATACCAATCAATATTATACAAACCATCGAAAGCATCTACCTCCATAATCGAATAGAGGCAAAGATAAATGGAAAACTAACACAGTGTATACCAGTACAAAGCGGAGTCAGACAGGGTGACTCGTTAAGCCCACTTCTCTTTAATATATTAATGGACGAAATAATACAAGCAGTATGGAAAAGTCATGGCTACAGAATTGGGAACACAGAAATCAAAATATTATGTTATGCAGACGACGCCGCATTAATCGCCGAGACAGAAGACGAGCTCTAAAGATTAACACATATCTTCAATACAACAGCTAAGAAATACAATATGATAATATCAGCGGAAAAATCCAAATGTATGACATTTAAATACCAACTACTGTGGAAAATCGAAATTGATGGGAAAATAATAAAGCCGGAAGCAAGGGTTAGATATCTGGGAATAGATATAACTAGTTACGGAGATGTTGAAGAAGAATCTGGCAGAACAAACACCTAAGACAAGACACAAAAACAAGAGTCTATAAAGCAGGAATTAGACCTATATTAACATACACGGCTGAAACAAGACCTGACACATCTAAAACGAGACGACTGCTAGAAACAACAGAGATGAAAATACTCCGACGAATATCAAGGAGAAGTCTGTTGGATAGGGAGAGAAGCAAAAACATAAGAAGAGCATGCAATATAGAAGACATAAATGGATGGGCGACAAAACGAAAACAAAAGTGGAACAAACACATCAGTAGAATGGCGGAGGATAGAATAGTACGAATAGCACAAGATAAGTCACCAAATGGACGAAGAAGTATTGGCAGACCAAGAAAAAGATGGTGCAACAATTTAAACAATTTAGGAAGCTAATATTGAAGAAGAAACAGGCTTTAAAGCCTACAAACCAGAAGGAAGAAGAAGAAGAAGATCAATGTCTTCTACATCAGAAACTTTCTAATCTAATCTCGGCGGCAAATAAACCACATTAAGTGGCATTTTCACAATCTGGGTATTCTTCTAAAAAAGCTATAAACTTTTTAGTAGTTAGTGCCATCTTCATTTCATATTTCGAGAATTTACTGAAATAAACAAATGCACTGCTATATAAACGCATTCATATGATAATAGTTTAGTTCATTTTAATTTACATGAACTTCATACTATATTTTCATATTTATATAAACAAATAAACACAAGCAAACTTTCAAATTAAGTTACAAAAAACAAATATAACGTTTACAGCACACAGCAATTCTATAAATAGAGAATGATGTGTAATGATGTGTAATTAAAATTGCAGATTGTTTTTAGTCTAACGAAAAAAAATTATTTTCCAAAGTTCTGTATTAGATACTCTCCAATAAGAATAAAATTTTATTCTATTTTGTTAGACAACTATAAGATACCTTATAGTTGTCTAACAAAATTTAAAGATAAGATAAGATAATTTTTACGTAATTACTTATGTGTTTAAATAAATAATTAAAATTTTTTTTGGTTCGCCTCTGCAAAATTGATAATTTCAATACGATTTCGTTGAAAAGTTATCGTTAAGGGCTTCGTTAAGTACGATGTTGCCAAGTAATCACCTTCAATTATTTTAGTATAGTAAAGACGGATAATGAATTTTTAGACGAAACTGCACTCGTCAGTTTTCTCAGCTATCACTAAGGATAGGCTGACGTCACGTTGTCATGGCAACCGTGAACGTTTGTGCAGATGGATTCCTCATTTCAAAAATGATAATTCACCTATTCCTGAATCATACACAGCTAGTGACACAGGTCAGGACTTGACCGTCAAGTACCTACCGCTAATAAAGCTAGTTGCCTTTTTAAATTTTTAGATTAATTAAAAGAGAATAAATAATTTATTTCAGAATTTAGATGTTATATAGATGTTGCTTTCATTTTTTATTTATTTGTCTCAATTTAATTATATTTTTTTGGTGAACCTCACCTTCACCTACTTCAAAGCCTATCTTTCTGAAAGACTTTATTATTCAGTGGAAGAGTTTCTTAACGAATAATTAAGAAAGTACAGTATGTTTCGGTACAATCAACAACGTATATATATATATATATATATATATATATATATTGGTATGATATGCAGCTGCTTAAACTTATTCGTAAACGAGTTCGTAAGGTTTTATTATGCAATTTGCAATTTAGTGAAATTTTGCAGTATATTGTATATTTTTTTATGTTTTATTCTGTGATATTGACGATTTATGTAATTTTAATAAATTTTAATTGTTACTGTTATTATTATTTTTTTATTTTTGTAAGCTTTGTCCATAAAAGTGTACATTTTTCAGTGACAATAAAGCGTATGTCTATTCTATTTTACTCTAAAAAATAAAATAATAATACCGTTTTTGTATTTATATTATCTATATTTTTTAGCCTCCAGAACGTGGTAGTAATCTACCAAGACAAGTTGGCAACAAAACAGAATGTGCATTATTAGGATTTGTCTTAGGACTTCGAAAGAGCTACCAAACCATCAGAGATGACCACCCCGAAGAAACATTCACTCGAGTATATACTTTCAATTCAGACAGAAAATCAATGAGTACCGTGATTCCTCGACCAGGAGGCGGTTACAGATTGTTTACCAAAGGTGCTTCAGAAATAATATTAGAAAAGTGTGCCTTTATCTACGGCCATGATGGTCGTGTCCAGAAATTCACAAAAGATATGCAGACAAGGCTATTAAAACTAGTAATAGAACCTATGGCTTCTGACGGACTCAGAACCATTTGCCTTGCTTTTAGAGACTTCGTTCCTGTTACACAAGAAATAAATCAGACGTTTATTGAACGTCAACCTAATTGGGATGATGAAAAATATATTGTTAATAACTTAACATGCTTGTGTGTTGTTGGTATTGAGGATCCTGTTCGACCAGAAGTACCTGAAGCTATTAGGAAATGTCAGAGAGCTGGTATAACTGTCAGAATGGTCACTGGTGATAATTTAAATACAGCCGTGTCGATTGCCACTAAATGTGGTATTGTAAAACCAAATGATGACTCCCTTATTCTCGAAGGAAAAGAATTTAACAGAAGAATTAGGGACAGCTCTGGAGAAGTAGGTATCTAATTTTAAGTTTTTATAACAAAAATATTAAGTCTTACAAATTGCCTGCATAATGATGATAGCAAAAATATATATTAATTGAAAACACTGATGTGTTTTTGTACACACTTATGACAAATGAAGGGATAAATAGAGTACTAATATAAATAACTAATTAAGGGAACATGTTGTACCTAGGGACAATTTTTACAATTTGATTTTTATAAATTAGACAAATAAAAATAATAAAATCTGGACAGTTGATCATACCTTTGTAAAGCTAATTCAAAAATGCCAATTTTCCAACTTATATATTTCTACCCATTTTATCACTTTTTTGTATGTATCCATACTTCATCTAATTTACTTACCGTTACACGTCATTCGCGTCATAGTCCGTGAGGTCACATGATACCAACACGAAATATTTAGACGGTAGATGTGTTCTTTTTTAGAATCACTTTGCCGAGTACACTGGCATTACAGCTACTAGACATATTTTATTATATACGCGTAGAAATAATATTTAAAGATTTCTATTAACGTTAACTTAAAGAAATACACAATAATATGTTTCATTTAATTTGTATAAATGCATTATTAAGTGTTTTTATGAAGAATATTTGTTCGGAACACACTGTAACTGTAATTGAACGAAGGTGATATTTTGGCATAGATTGATAACTTCTTCTTCTTTAAGTTCCATCTTCTATCGAAGGTTGGAAATCATCATGGCTATGCGGACTCTGTTGACTGCCGCTCTAAAAAGTTCTGCACTACTGCATTCAAACCATTCCCTCAAGTTCTTAAGCCAGGATATTCTTCGTCTTCCCACATTTCGCTTTCCTCGGATTTTGCCCTGCATAATAAGTTGTAATAATGCGTATTTTTGCCCTTTCATCACATGTCCCAAGTACTCAAGTTTTCGTCTTTTAATAGTTAATATTATTTCCGCCTCATTTCCTATCCTTCTAGTTACTTCCATGTTTGACATTCTTTGAGTTCATGATATTCGTAGGATTTTTCTGTAACACCAAAATTCAAAGGCGGCCAACCTATTCAGATGAACTTGTTTTAGTGTCCAAGCTTCCAGACCATAAAGAAGAGTAGAGAACACGTAACATCGAAGCATTCTCAGGCGTAGTTCTAACCTTATATCCCGACAACAAAGAAACTTTTTAAGTTTAATAAATGATGTACGTGCTATTTCAATACGTGTCTTAATTTCTTTGGTTTGGTCTACATCTGATGTTATCCATGTTCCTAAGTATTTATAGTTATTAACACTCTCAATTGCAGTATCTTCAATAGTCAATTGGATATTTGCATGTGCAGATTTAGTCATGATCATGCATTTAGTTTTCTTTAAATTTATCTTCAGTCCGTACTCATGACAGCGTTCATTAAGGCGTTGCATTACGTTCTGTAAATCATTGTTGTTATCCGTAATTATTACTGTATCGTCTGCAAAACGTAAGTTATTCAAAACTTCTCCATTGATAGATATACCTTCTATTGAGTCTGAGAGCGCTTCTTGAAATACCGCTTCACTGTAGACATCGAAAAGTAGTGGGGACAGCACGCAACCCTGGCGGACTCCTCTCTGTATTTTGATATTTTCGGTGTACTGGCTGTCAACTCTTACCTTGGCAGTTTGATTCCAATATAAATTAGATATAATTTTCAGATCACGACTGTCAATATTTTTGCTTTTTAATATATCTACAAGCTTTTTATGTTGAACTTTATCAAATGCCTTTTCAAAGTCTACAAAACATAAGTACATATCCTGATTCATGTCCATGCATCTCTGAGCCAGCACATTCAAGCCGAACAAAGCATCTCTTGTACTCATACCATTTCTAAAGCCAAATTGTGTGTCACTAATCTCATATTCAAGAGTTTTAACAATTCTGCTGTGAATTATTGTCAAAAATGTTTTAAGTGTGTGACTCATTAAAGCTATTGTTCTGTGGTCTGAGCAAGTTGTTGAACTTGGTTTTTTGGGAATTGCTACAAAGGTTGATTGCAGCCATTGTCTGGGGATTGTGGCAGTCTGATATATTAGATTAAAGAGTTCAACCATTACATCAATAACATCTTCATCGATAAGTTTTAATAATTCGATGGGCACCTCATCTGGTCCAGTGGCTTTACCCTCTTTAGTGTTTTTGATGGCATAGATGACTTCTTCTCTTAATATTGGTGGTCCAGTATCCTCGGTGATTTCTAATGACAGTTCTTCTCTTTCATCATTAAATAGTTGTTGAATTTAATTGGTCCAGTGACATAATCTCTCCTTCATATCAGTAATAATATTCCCTTTATCATTTTTAAGGATATTCGTTTTTGTACGCTTTCTAGAACCTGTCATTTTTTTGATTTTTTTGTGTAAATTAAAGCTATCGTACTTTTTATCCAGATCTTCTATTTCCTTGCATCTATCGGAGAGCCACCTCTCTTTTGCCTCTCGAATTTTCTTTCTGATGTTTCTCTGAATTTCTTTGTATTTATTCAGGTCTTTTGCTTTATGTTTTCTTCGTTCTTCCATGAGTTCAAGAATTTCTACTGTCATCCAAGGTTTTGTTTTTTCTTAAGTGGTTTGAGGGTTTCTTTTCCAACTGACACAAGGGCATGTTGAATTTTTCCCCATTTTTGGTCAACAGTTAGAGTTTCTGCATTATCTTCTTTGACTTTCCTTAAGCTCTCGTTTATTTTAAATTTGGTGTCCACATATGTGTTGTCTTGTTTGAGACGTCTTGTATCTATGATTTTCTTGTTGCTAGGGCTGTTGACCTTCTTTAGTTTCACTCTCATCGACAAAACAACCGGGTTGTGGTCGGAGGATATGTCCGCTCCTGGATAAGTTTTAGATGATATTATAGAATTTCTATATCTTCTGTTGACGATAATATAATCTATTTGATTTCTGACTATTTTGTTGTTATTGTCAGCTGGTGACCTCCATATATATAGTCTACGTTTAGGAAGTTTGAACAATGTATTTGTAATTATGAGTTCCTCATTGACACAGAAATCGACAAGCCTATCGCCACGTTCATTCCTTTCCCCGAGTCCATATCGCCCCACGTAATTCTCCACTTCTCCTTGGCCAACTTTAGCGTTCAAATCGCCCATTATAATATTTATATCTTGTCTTTTAGTTAGTCTTAAGACATTGTCGATTTGTTCATAGAAGGCCTCTATGGTGTCTTCATCCTTGTCTGCAGTGGGTGCATAGATTGATAACACCCAAGGTTATTAAAAAAACACAGGTTGTCTGGTAACTTTACACCAATCAGCGTCGAGAATCTAACGGCGGGAATGACGTCACTGAGAATGCTACATTCAAATTTATTCACTTTACTCCTTGAAATGAACTCGAAAAGCAACAATGATTGTAAGTATATTAATCTATGTATATCGAAAAAAATACGTTTGGACTTTTAATAACTATTTATTTCATTCAATCTTTAAAAAATGTGGGAGATAAGTACCTGCAGAGTTATAGAAATCATAAAATATTATTGCAGCTAAACATATGTAGTAGAATAGAATTACTATATTAAATTGGAAGTAGATTCTTTCTTGTGTATACATGTGACTAAAACATATTAATATACTATATTAATAATGGTTTGAATACAATTTACTTTTTTTTTTAAATTATTTTAAATTGAGGATAATGCATGTAGTGGATTATTATAAATTCCTCCAAACAAGTAAACCATGCTGAAAAAGAGATTCAACTAAAGATTTATATATCAGAATTAGTAGTTTTTCCCTTAACTTCAATATATTTAAGGAACATCTGATTACATTACTGGATCATATAATAGAATAAAAAAAATATTAAAACATGATTCCATTTAATAGATACCTTTTAAGTTGTACATAATTAACAGTAAATGATAAAAATCAAAATCAGTGAATTAACACATTTTTACTGAACATTTAAATGACTATACCTACTTACCATCTTTTTTCAGCTTTTTAGGTTGTATGTTTAATAGTTTAGCTTTTAAAGCATCCTCATAATCTTCCATGCAAAAGTGTATACTACAAACTCTTTTATTAAAACAGGACCACTTATCCTTCCTATGACACTTGCTCATCCATTGCTTTTGAATTTTTACATTTTTTTGGAAATGTAAAATACATTAAAATCCTTCCATCCTTTTTTGGAATTTTTGAATTATATTTGCAAATTGCTACACTACAAATATTTCCACCTGTCATCTGAATCAATAAAAAAATTGAATGAAGTTATGCTTTTCCTGCATTAATCCCAATGTTACCTTTACGATATAATACAGCAGAAATAAAATCCAGTAAGACACAGCCACGTTAAATGTATCTTAACACTTGTATAAGAGTATTGGGTCCAAATTTTATACTAAAAATCACTCAATACTATCTATAGACATATTATATCTTAAGATATTAACTTAAACTAAATTACTAACGATATTTAATAACAAAATATATTCTCCAAACCACTTCTCCTATTTTGTTTTCAAACAATTAGTAAAATTGACCCCCTGGGTGACGTCACACGTCGTATTTCATTCTGTCAATGTCATAAGTTACCATGCAACATCCCTTTTATTAACCTTGGGTAACACTTATTTAACAGTTGCGGTGTTGACACTTTTTGTATTTTATTATTTTGAATTTTAAAATGAATACCTCTTGTTTTAATTTTTACCTATTTAATAAAATCTGTTCTTTTTAGAACAAAATTAGTATGTTTTATTTCAAAATGTAACGTAAGAATTTAAATAGTCGTTGTAAAGAGATAGTAATACTTTTGCAATAACGATGTGACCTATTTGATTTAAAATGGATTCAGGATTTTTTTATACTTTGGCAACTATGTCAACTTCGATCTCTGTCAATGATAATGACGTGCAACGGTAAGTAAATTAGATTAGAGTTGAAGTACCTATACAACCAGAATTTAATGTGTTAAACAAAAATACTGCCCAATATTCGTGAAAATATAAACTGCTAATAATACACAGACTACCCTAAATTAATTTATCAAAAGATATTGGAAAGATAAATGTGTTTGATTGTCGAGAGGATGAACCTGCTGTACGTGGTTGAGGAAGTTTTTGTATAATATCGCTAATGTTAGTTTTATATTCCTTTTCATTTTCAACCGTAAATATATAGCCATGTGCAAAGGAATGAGCTTTCTTTAAATATTTTATTTGGAACTCTGTTTTGTCCACCTTTCCTGATATTGCGACTACAATATATCCTGAATGCTTTTTCCCTTTTAAGTGCATCAAAATGAAATCACCTTTTTGAAGATCATCTGGAGTAATTGAATGGAATCAATTTCTAAATCTGACGAAGAATTATCATTACAATTATTGTTGTCACTTTTAATCTCAAAATCAATTTGATGTTCCTCTGACGATGTTTCTTCAACATTTAACTTACATTTTACTTTTTTTGTTTTTTGAAGTTCCTTTTTGCGCTTTTTTTCCATACTGTCTTTCTTACTTTCTTTTATTTTATTAAATTCTGGGGTGTCGGTAAGAATGACAGACCTTCCTTTTTGCGCCTCTTAGAAACGATGGGACGAACCTGATATGGTAAAATAAAACTTGACATAACAGGAATTGGTTTCGTAAAAATCCAACTTAGCTTCTGGTGTAGAAGTGTCTGTTTCGGAAGCATCACAATGCGGTGGATCGGGGACAGAATAAACAGGAAGTGTTGATGAAAAGTTGCGTAAATATGGATCATTTCGATCGGTTATGTTAGATGGAAAAAGTCTTGTTCAGTAAACACATAACTCTTTAAGAAGTATAGACTTGATATTTGAAAGCCCTTGGTTATATTGTTTGGACTAAATGCCTTCAAGTATACCGTATTTGCCAACTCTGCTACGTCGTAAATGGTAACTGGTTTCCCTGCGTTACCAGGAGAACTCATTCAATTAGACATTGCGTTATTGTAGAAAGACTTAAAGGGTCCAAAATCAGAAAAATCGAAAGGTTGCAATCGGTGTGATGTATGGGGATGAAAAGTAACTAAAATGACGCCCGAATGTTTTGTCAAGTTAATAGAGGGTATGGAAACATGGCTTTTATGGTTATCTAACAATAAAATAACGTTATCTTGCAAAGTAGGTTTAACATGTAATATGAAATGTTCTAGGAATTTAAAAAATACATCTTCATTGGACCATCCACTCGGATTTGCAGCTCCTATTGCTCCAGGTGGTGCCCCTTTCACATGTGACTTTTAAAATTCACTCTCGGAAACACAAATAAAGGCGGCATAGTATTTCCAGCAGCATTAATACAACATATCACAGTAACTAGAACACCTCTTTCTCCAGATGTCATTCTTCCTATTTGCGTTTGTCCTTTTGGTGGTAAAATTTTAGGAGGTTGCTGCACAGTAGTGATACCTGCCTCATCGATGTTAAAAATTTTTGATGGTTTAAAGTTTCCTTTACTCAACTCATTTTTATATGATCGAAAGAAAATAGCAACTGTTTATTTATTGAATGCAGTTGCTTTGGCCAAACTTATACTCTCGAGTTTTCTAAGTGACAGAGATGCAGAATGTCTATTTCGGAAACCTCTAAGCCAATTATTTCCTGCTTCTTTTGTATCGTCCCAGCAAGCAGGATATTTTTTTTATTTTGCTTTGCATATTCATATGCCAGTTTTTTAACGTTTATTAAACTTAGGCCATAATGAATTGTAGCAGCTATTTTTAAATAGTTTATCAGTTCCGTTTCCTCGGCTTCATTAAAAACTTGCTTGACTTTAGAATTCGAACTGTATATAAAATTATTTTGACCTGATATTTTAAAATTTTTAATGTGTCTTGCTAATGTAGACTTTGCAATTCCAAATTGGCTCGCTGCGGCACGAATTGAAAAACTTGAAATTAAAACTTCACGAACAGCATTCTCTACACTGACTTTTAAAGGTCCCGGTCTTCTCTTATTTTCTTTACTTCTTGGCATAATGAGCTCCTGAAACAAAACATTGTTTGGTACTAATACTTTTAATAATTTACCTGGGGACAGCCCCAGGTACAACAAAATGCATATCCCTAGGTACAACAGGGTGACTCCATGTACCTATAAAAGCAGTCGAATAAGTCGTTAGCCACAACAAATACAACGGTTTGATTAGTGGATTAGGTAGTCTAAATTAAGATTAATATCACCCCAACATTATTATTTACTACAATCAAATTAATAATTTGCAATAAGACAAAACAGATGTAAAAAATTACAAAATGGCTAGGGCTTGTGTTAACACTTCACAAATATGTGCACAACTGAATACCATCATGGCAGAGAACTACGAACACAGAGAAGCAACACTCCTTTGATCTTGCGTGGGCAAGCGGCAAACGGGTGAAAATGACAGGAAAGCAACCAATTTACGAATAGTCAGTGGGCATATCACACAATATAAATTTTTAAATACAATTGAGCATTTATGTTGACTTTCAATAAATATGAAATATTGCACTGAAAAAATAATTACATGCAGGGCCGACTTTTGTTGACATTCTAAATGGTGTAATTATTTTTGATTTACAAAAGGTTGAAAATAGATCGCACAACGCAAAGTAATGGTGAAAATCGTATTGATGGAACCATAGATGAAAACACTTTTTTGTTTATACTGATGTTGGCATTGATAATACAATAATACACCGATTCTTTTTGGCTTGTGTTGATACAAGATATAATTTGTTCGTCGTGGAATTTCCTAATAAATTCTCTTTCGTAATGTAATCGAAAAATAACAAAGCCATTGTAACTGTAACGAATTTTAAACAAAGAACTTTTTGTATTTATAAATAATACTTCATTACTTACAACTATAAGAGTATTAGTATATTCTAAGTGTATTCTCAGTAATGAAGTATTTAACTTTTGTCAATATCTCATCTTAATAAATTTACAGTTTTCTCCTGATTAAGTCACAAAATTGTCACTAAATATTGAGATATACAACAAATAAAGTTTTAATATTTTTTATTTGTAATTCCCATTTAAATATTTATTCCCTAAATATGTTGTGTACTCCGATCCATATATTTGATCTTTGTTATTTATATTTAACGAATTAAACATTGACAGACAACTTTTGTATATAGCAAAAAGTAGATGAGTATTTAGTCTTTTCATAATTTAATGTAAGTTTGTTTGGTGAAAAAGACAGCAAATATTTGAAGTTATGTTAATGTAAGTTTGTTTATTTGCAATCATGTTTTTATTTTGAAGTCTTGTTCTGTTGTAATTTTAAGATTTTCCCAATTATCGGTCTAATTATGTTTCCAACAATTTTAAGTTTGAGCATTTCAGGAATTTCTTTGTTTCGTTTAAATCAAATATTCTCGTGTATAAAACCCTCTATTTTTATTTCCTAAAAATACTATATTCGTATTGTTGTCTGCGAGCGCTTTCACACCAGTAGGCCAACATCTGTTGATTTTTTGACCTGAGCCTTCGGAGACAATAAATTTAATGTGTGTTCGTAGTTCTCTGGTTTTTATTTTGAACTATCCCTTGGCAGACCAAAATTTATTTTTTTATTGGTCCACTTAACGAGAGCTCGGACGGACACGTCGGCATTGGCTTACTGATCGAAAGTCAAATTAGTACTATTATGTAATAACTAATAATAATTACAAAGCAATAGTAATTACCTGTTATTATTCTTAGGAAATCTAAATAAACTTATTCCTTTTCCTGTCACAGATGAACATCCGCGAAACGCACAACATTAACCAGAAGACATTTTAAATACTTATAAATTAAACTTTTAACTATAAACTATAACTATAAACTTATATATTTAACTTATATATTTTAACTATAACTATAAACTATAACTATAAACTTTTAACTACTAAGTAAATTCGATAAATGGTCAAATGCACTTCTATAGTCGAGTATTTACCACAGGTGCCTAAGGACCATCGTAAACAACCAGAGTTGAAGAAAACGCACGTGTTTTTGACAGTAAAGCAACCAGGTTCGGGCATGCGTATACAGAAAAGATACACGGATTTCGGGCCTCGTGTCGCTTCTCTATGTTCGTAGTTCTCTGATCATGGTACAATGAATACATAGAGAGGGACACTGTTGCCGATATGTTTTGTAAATCTAAGGTTTGTCTGATAGTTTGTTTTGCATTAATTTAGCCTGTCCCTAGGTAGGTATAACCGTCCCTAGGTACAGCATGTTCCCCTAATTATTGTCTTCGTTAGAGTCTACATTTAGGTTTTCTGAATGTTTTATTGTAATTTTAAGGTGTCTGATTATGGTGTTCCTTTAAGTAATTAGGTTGCTTTAATTATAGTAAATTTATTGGGGTAGTATTGGAAATTGTAGAGATTGTAGTCGAGAACTGAATTAATTTTGTTTAATATTTTGTTTAATATTAAACGAGGTAACAAGTGTGGAGATTTCCTAACCTGTAACAAAAGTTTATGATGAAGTTGGTGATAAAGATTTTATGCTAATATTTACTTCGTTTTTGACTTTAAGTGTTTCTTACTTATCAGCATTTTCGACATAATCCCCGTCTCTAAGTTTGTCTCTACAAGTATATATTTTTAGGTTCAACAACATCTTATCGACCAAGTTTGGCCTAAGTTGCGTGTTCTTGCGAGGTCCTCTCCAACGGATAAATACATTCTTGTCAAAGGTATTATAGACAGCGAGTTGAGTGATTGTAGGGAAGTCGTAGCTGTAACTGGTGACGGTACAAATGATGGACCAGCTTTAAAAAAGGCAGATGTTGGATTTGCAATGGTAAGTTTTGATACAAATATAGAAGTGAGTATATTAATAACCGGTGGCGTTTACAAGGGGGGAAGTCACGGGGGGTCATGACCCCCCAAACAAAATTAAATATTAATCAAATAATCCTAAAAACAATAATAATTTAAAACTCCATCAACCCTATAAGCAGGAAGTCACGAGTCGAAATGATTCAAACTCATTTATTCTAGAGGTAAGTGTAGAATTATGCGGAAGCCTTTTAACAGTAATGCCTCGAGTAACGCTACCCCGACTTCAGAGTTTCACAATTTTCAAATTTTTGTCAATTTATCATTTGAGTACCAGAGAATCGTTCGATTGTCGTTGGTATAGAATTACTGCCCACACATTATTGCCCATTCAATGTACATGATATTACTTTTCACACAAAATCAGCACATTTGTATATTGTATTAGGTATTTCTTATCTAAAAAGCTTAAGGAGACTGCTGGAATATACAGAAAACGAAGACCAACTACCATAGTTAATCAGGATAATCGGATAGTGCTGGGTGAAAAGGAAAAAATTGATATATGGGAACATTATATCCAGGAGCTCTTCCATGACGAAAGAGTGAAGTTTATACAGACGACCAGCTGACTAGCCCTTCAATCACCAAAGAAAAGATAGAAAAGGCAATATTAAATTCAAAAAACAATAAGGCACCTGGACCAGATGAAATCCCGTCAGAAATACTCAAATTACTGGATGAAAGGGGAATTTCAGCACTACACAAAATATTTAACTTAATTTATGAAACTGGCTGCTATCCTCGACAGTGGTTACGCTCTACCTTTATTCCTCTGCCCAAGAAAGTCAATGCAAAAAGATGTGAGGATTACAGACTCATTAGCCTGATGAGTCACACTTTAAAAATATTCTTAAAAATACTACATCAAAGATTATACAAAAAATGTGAATGGGACATCAGTGACTCCCAGTTCGGGTTTAGGCAAGGTTTAGGAACACAACAGGCAGTGAAGTAACATTAAAAATTGAAAATATGAATCTCGATATCCTCGTCACAACGAAAACAAAAAAGAAAGGAAACGGCACTGAAAGAATAGGGGAACTAATCCATTGTTGAAGCGGAGTAGAAAAGAAAGACCGCGCAAAAGCTGGAGTTGGAATTCTACTAAAGAAGAAATGGGAAAAATCTATAGACGATTGGGAACTCATAAACGAGAGAATTGCCAAACTGAAAATCAAGATGTATGGCAGAGAAATTATAATACTAGCAACATACGGTCCAACGGAAGACAGTTCAGCCAATGAGAAAGAACCATTTATCGAACAACTTCAGGAACAAATGGATAAGAGAAAACCTAAACAAGAAATAATAATAGTGGGGATCTAAATGGAAGAGTCGGAAGAAAAGACAATGACAGAACAGTTGGTCCATTTGGAGAAGACACAATTAACGACAACGGAGAAAGATTGATAGAACTATGTGAAGTAAATGATTTGAAAATTCTGAACGGATTCTACAAACACAAAAATATACATAAGTACACATGGACTCAAGAGACAAGAAAACTAAGATCCATTATTGACTACATTATCATGAACCACAAAAGCTCCATCAAAGTGAGAGACACCAGAGTGAAAAGAGGGGCAGAGTGTGGAACAGATCACAAACTTGTGGTGGCATGGATGGAATTCCCCTATATCTGGACAAAACAAAAACATACATCGATTGTTACAACATGAACACATAAAAACCTGCCTGATTTCAGAGGCCTTAGAAGCTCTTGGAGAAGACGACCAAAGGAACAGCCATCAGAATATCAAATTAAGGGAAGACACATTGAAATCTATAAAAGAAAAACCATAGGATAAGTGGGTTTAAATTAATTGTCTTTAAAATACCTAGTTTAAATAATTGACAGACCTTGATTTTTCAGTATTTATATTTTATTGACTTTCCTTTGGTTTAATAATCTTGTACACTTGATTTTACTGCCTTAGAGTATGTGGATTTAAATTATTTTTTTTTGGTTTAAGTTTAAGACTCCTTAATGTTGTACCATTCTTTATATCCGTAGGGTATTTGCGTTTTAATAACATCTCATTGGTTAAAATATCGCTTAAAATATTTATTGAGAAAATTTTTCGTAAAGGTGCCTATATCAAAATCAAAATCACCCTCAACCGCCCCCCCCTCTCAATTTACTAGGTAACTTAAAATAAGTGCAGAAAAGGAATAAATAAAAAGAAATAACGACTGACTAAAACAAAGCAAATAATCAATAAAACTCACTAATTGTTAAGACTATTATGTTAGTACATGAAAGACCCCTGCAGATGGCGTGAAAGCTGTGTAGTAAACTATTGATGCGGCTTTAGGTGGCTCAGTAGTCATCATCATCAACTAGCTTGTAACGTCCACTGCTGAACATAGGCCTCTCGCATGCTTTTCCACTTAGTCCGATTTTGCGCCATCTCAATCCAATTTGTAGTCACTCTTTTTATGTCATCTATGCATCTCGTTGGGGGTCGACCTCTATTTCTGTTAGCTTGTATTCGAAGTCTCCATTTAAAAATTATTTTTGTCCATCGGTCATCAATTGATCTTGCTACATGACCTGCCCAGTTCCACTTTAGTGTTGTTATTCTTCAATAATGTCTGATACTCCTAATCTTTTGCGTATAGAACATTGGGTATTCTATCACGTAGAGAATGGAGTAGGCTCAGTAGGACTTCACTTTAATATCTGAACATGGTATCTATGACAGCATCATGCAAATTTTAACACTGTTTCTAAATTACTTATTTCTAAAAAAAGTATAAAGTATCGAGGGTCTAACAAATTTTCATAATTAGCCTTTGTTTTGTTTAAAAATATGTTTTTTGTCTTTTTTGTCTGAGGATGAAAATTTTCTAAAAACCGTACCAAGTTGACTATCTCTAGGGATGGCTGGCATGTGTTGGACTTAGGGTAGTAGAGTACATCCGAGTGCATTAACCCTCTAGAAAGAGGTCCTGCAAACGGTTGTCTTTCTACTATCCTGCTTACCAACTAAAACCACCCTCTCCTACTTTCTAATCACTCTCTCACTCTCTTGTACTCCGAAGGCGGGATGATCGCTTTAAGGTTAAAGACACTTTCGGAACACTCTTTCCCTTATATAGATTTTATCTCTGCGTTCGTCCGTTGATGCTATTGTTCTTCTTTCTTCTTAATAACTGCTAAATGTAATTCTCCACAATATTTCATCCCTCCTTACTTTCCCTTATCTCCGGATTATCTCTATCATAGTCATAGGGTTCATAACTATTTCTTTATGCAAGCTGCTTCTCTCCGCTGTTCATCTATTACACTTTAGAATTGTGTAAGTAACGGTATTGGAGTATTCGCAGTATAAGCATTTGTCTGTACCTGCTTTTCTGAATCTATAAAGATAGGCTCTAAAGCACCAGTGTCCTGTGAGCACTCACATCAGGAAGTAATCCAGTCGTCTGTGATCACAATGTACCCAGTTCCTACTGCTTGGGATTAGCATCTTAATCCACCTTGCAACATCTTCTGTGTTGTTCCACTCTTCTTGCCATCTTTTAATTGACTGTCTTCCTTTTCTTCTTTTCTTAAGGCTGTAGTTAAATGCTCTCTTCTCCCATAAATATGTCTCCTTTCTACTGCGAATACATGCAGAGGAACTCAACCTGTGATAGTCTACAAGTCTGCCGTAGAAACAGTCATGTAGACGCATGCTACTCGCAACAAACTCATTTTTTCTACTCGTGTCATAAGCCCCTGTATCTCTACTGCCCCACTCCAGACTGGTGTCGCGTAAAGGACGCAAGACTGCACAACACCGTATAGGGCTGGCCTTCTTTCGGATTTACCGACAAGGTAGCAAAAGTTTGCGACTTTTTGCTACGTTCTAGACACCCGTATATGCTTCCCTATCCACCATATTGTTGTAGCGTCATTCTTAGATATTTAACGCATTTCTTTGACGTCAGCCGTATTCCTGCATATTGGAGTTCCATCACTTGTCTTTTTCATGTACTCATCAAAGTGATGGCTTCGGTTTCCACGAGTTCCAGTTCATGATCTGTCATTCAGTTCTTTACGACGCTGTCTGTATGCATTGCCCAAAAATTTGAGATCCTGCTCGTCCTGCGCTACTACCAGCACAGTGAGATCATCCGAAAAGGCGAAGAGGTTTATACCCTCTTCGTATTCGCAGTTCACGACCCCGTTATATGCCAGGTTTTACAGCGTCTGGTCCAAGACCGATGCCTGTAGGACTCCAGCAGTTACGTCAACAAGCGTGTCCTCAACCATGATCGTTTTCTAGGACAGATATTTCACTACTACATTCATTAGACAGCCTCATGTAATGCCTGTATTACCTCTTTCCACTGCAGACTGTTGAATGCATTGCTCACATTAAAGAGAGAGCAGTAACCCTGTTCGTCCATAAAGTTATACAATACCTCTCGTACACATAAAATTGCCTCAATAATGCTGTTTCTCTTGTAGAATTCGAACTGTTTTGGCGTCCTGATCTCTCAATGGTGTCACCGATCCGTCTTCGCAGCATCCTCTTGTATAACTTCCCGATGCACTGGAGAAGACGTATAAGGCGATACTTTTCCCCAGTTTTGTGGAGCAGCACGAGCTTTGACGTTCTCCAAGAATCAGAAAGTGTCTGTGCTTTAAACAATGCAATCATGTGCTCCAAAAGCCTCGCAGGCTTCACGCATCCTAGATCCTTCACTGCTTTGGGCGGTATGCCGTCTAATTCGAGCGACCTATGCGTCTTGAGTACATCCAATGCCTTCACTAGTTCATCCATGGTAAAGGGTACGGCCGGCACAGCTCCCTCATTTCTTCACACGCCACTGACCGAAATGAGCTCTCATGTTATCTCAAACTTTTTGTCTAGTGGTATTTCGTATGGGGGTACACATGAAACTTTTTTATTGCGATCCTGTTTTCCTCACCAGAAATGCCTTCATCCTGCTAGTCACACAATTTCCTTCAGTGCCTACTTTTTCTGAACGAATATTTTTGTAGCCTCTCTTCCGTGCGTAGCAATCTATTTCGTTTTGCTGAAGTTGCTATGCGACAACTGCTCTACCCATGTAACTGCATGGCTATGCATTCATGTCTACATCGATATCTTCGATGTCAGCACTCTACCAGTATGACAACCCTGTATACCTATTCGACTACCATTCATAGCTTCTATCACGATTCGTCCCAGGTTTTCCACGGTTGACGTTTGACCCTGCATCGTGCCTATTCTCAATTGAATGAGTTCATTATATACCTTCCAGTCATCATCATCGCTGTATTCGACTATTGTGAAACTAGTAGTTGCATATTAGATAAGTTCTTTTATCCTTTAATATACATATACAGTGGAACTTGCTTATAGCGTCATTGAAGGGTCCAATAAAAAAATGACGCTATATCAGAGTGACGTTAAAAAAGAGGTTGAGAAAAATAAAATTTTAATGAGGGAAAATATTATTACAGCATTATTGGGTATAGTAGATATATTATTTGTTAATTACTCTGGGCCTAAACATGATAATTTAACATAGTTTACGATATACCGAAAATATAACATTTACTTAAGTCAAATTAAAAAAAAAACAAGAATCATTTTAGGATAAAAAACAATTAAAAACAAAACATATTATGTATATATATGAAACTTACATTGTGTAAAAAAGTTCTATTGCTGAAAAAAGTCCGTTATTTTCTTTTGCACAACCCTTTCCGAAAAATAAAGTTTTTCTGTTGTTTCCTTAATAAGCTGAGCTGCTTCTTTGGTATTTGTGGATGCCTCCCTGAACTGGTAAAACCTGGATATGGTCTGAGCAGCTCTCATTGCTTCTTGGATTGTAGGACAAGCAACGATCTCTTCTTCTTATTCAGCTTCATCGACATCCATTTCCACTTTTGCACCAGTTCAACAATTTCTTTATCACTTAGGACTTGAAATGTTTCCACCTCATCGTCTACTGAAATGTAGGAGTCAAGATCAGTTCCGAACGCTCCCTGATTCACATTAAATTTTTATATCCACTCTGACAAAGGCATTTCGTCATCTTTATCAACGTCCTCAACATTGAGAGAAGCTACAGTCAATTTTGCTTGACGAAAACACTTATGAATTGTCACTGACGTAACCGCACTCCACGCATTGTCTAAAAACTGAACAGAATCCAGGATGGTAATGTTCACAGGTTCTCCATTATCCATACAAAAAATCATTCTTTTTAAAAGCTGTTTTCGATAATGGCACTTTGAACTTCTTATAACTCCGTGGTCCATAGGCTGCAAGACACTCGTGCAGTTGGCTGGTAAGAACACTAGATTTATATTGGTCAAATTAAGTTTGGGATGGGCTGTTAACCAGTCACTTGTTACATTATCGTCCACACATTTTGCCTCTCCAACAATTTTCGAGAAGGAAATTGAGTGCTTGGCTTTAAATCGATCTAACCAGCCGTTAGAGCATGTGAAATCTTCACCAAACAATTTTCCGAACTCTGTAGCTTTCTCCTTTAAAAGTGGCCCGGACACAGGAATATCAGATCTGCGACACTGCTTGAACCATTTGAGTAGAGCTGAATCTACATCACCACGAATGCACTTCCCAATCTTTTTAACATTATTTCCGTCCTCTTTAAAGGCTTTTAAAATTTTGTCCTTGTTTTTTATGATTGAGCAGACAGTCGAATTAACAAGTCCAAATTGCCGGCAGACATCAGCAATTTTTCGACCACTTTCAAATGCTCTTATAACACGCACTTTTTCTTTAATAGGCAAAACCTTCCTTTTAGTGCCACAACTTGCCATATTAAAAAGTAAAAGCTAATTGCCAAATTAAAATAAAAAAAAAAAAACAAAACGATCCGAACACAATTTCACGGTATCGAAAATTTCTTAAACCGACTGTTCCGAAACAGAAAATTTGACTGTTAGGAGTGTTAGGACGGCACTGATAAATGCGAAATTATAGATTGTTAGGGTAACATAACTGTACACAGAAGAGATAATGGACCTTTCTTACATTCTTGGAAGGAACAAATGCCGCAAAGCCAGAAACGCATTGCACTTTATTCTTCATAAAATAAAAAAAGGATAACCTACTATAAAATTTTATGACGCTATAACCGAGGGTTAGTTTATTTTTAGCCGATAAAACCCTGTTTTTAATAAGGTTATGAAATAGTTTTTGACCGGACCTATTAAAAATTGACGGTATAACCGAGATGACGTAACTACCGAGGCCGTAGTAAGCGAGTTCCACTGTATTTTTCTTATTAATCATAAAAGTATGCCATGAAGGTGAAACTAAGTATTTATCTGACATCACACACGTCCTTTTTCTTTTAGGGTATTGCTGGTACAGATGTCGCAAAAGAAGCTTCTGATATTATTTTAACTGACGACAACTTCACTAGTATCGTCAAGGCTGTTATGTGGGGTAGAAATGTTTATGACAGTATAGCAAAATTTTTACAGTTCCAACTTACTGTCAATACCGTTGCTGTTATCGTTGCTTTTACTGGTGCTTGTGCAGTCCAGGACAGTCCTTTAAAGGTAATGTTAATTTTAGTGAACTTGTAGCTTAAAATATAAAAGCATTATTAAGTTGAACTAATAATTTATAATTATTTCGTATTTTTAGGCTGTACAAATGTTATGGGTGAATTTAATTATGGACACATTAGCTTCCTTAGCTTTGGCTACTGAAGTGCCTACTGAAGATTTACTTCTCAGAAAGCCCTATGGTAGAACAAAACCCTTAATTTCCAGAACTATGATGAAGAACATTTTAGGACAAGCCATATATCAATTAGTAGTTATATTTACTTTACTTTTTGTAGGTAGGTAATCATATTTTCTTCAACGAAGAAGACATTTACGTTAGCTTTGTTATGTTTAGGTGATAAAATTTTGGATATCGAATCTGGAAGAGGAGTGGCAATTGGTCATCCACCAACGCAACATTTTACCGTTATCTTCAACACTTTCGTTATGATGACGCTCTTCAACGAGTTCAACGCTAGAAAGATTCATGGACAAAGAAATATTTTCGAAGGTATTTTCACCAATCCCATCTTTTATACTATCTGGATTGGAACATGTGTAGCACAGGTAAGCGGTAGGTCATGCTTAGTATAGTGACACTTGTTTTATTAACAAGTTTAAGAGTTTAAGTTTAACACTAAGGCCCTTGTCCCACCAAAGCTACGCGACGGCGACACGATGTCGTCACGATGTATCTTTATTATTTAATCCATCCGTGCTATTATGAAGATAAGCTGAAAAATAAGACTATCATTTAAGAAAAAAATCATTTTACTATGATCGTTTAGTTTAATAGAATATCTAATAATTTATTGCAAAATTTGCTGTAATAATTTACTGTTTTTCATTTTTTATGCTATTTGGAAGACATTTTATTAAACAATAAAGGAATTTGTGTAAGTGAATGTTTCATTTTAGGTGGGTATTATCCACGTAGGTGGTATAGCGTTTTCTACAACTAGCTTAGACAGAGACCAGTGGTTCTGGTGCGTTTTCTTTGGAGTAGGATCTCTACTATGGACGCAGCTTATCTTAACACTACCAACTAGTAAAATTCCAAAGATTTTAACGTAAGTATAAAAATTTGATAATTATCTATAATAGCCCAGAGTGAATCTGTTTCGGATTGTTTGTAGTGAGTCGGACTTAGATTTTTGTAGAAAGCTCTCCGAAATATTGTTAAATAGTAGAATTTGAATTTGATTCAGCTAAATATGCTCTGGAAAATTGTATCTTTTATCTAAAAGATCTCTGGAAGTATCCATATGTACAAAAAAAAGTATAAATATAAATTTGATCACAATTATTTTTTACATTAAATTTTTTTTACAGCTGTGTGCAATTTGTAAAACAATAGACCAGTGTCGAAGCCTTAAAAAAAGGTAAAAAGTAAAAAAAAATTATAGTAGAATGAAACCTATTGGAAAAAGAAGAGAATATGCTAAAATTGGAAGAAAAAATAAATTACACTCCATCTGAGGTCGGGAAGTGGGCAAAGTTGTAGGTAACAAAAAGATTTACAACTTTTGTATTTACACTTTTTTCACATAACCTCAAAATTTTTGTGGAAAATTATAAAATCTAATTTTTGATTTTTTATTTTTATCTTTAAAAAAAAAACTTTTTTTTACGAAATTTGGTGAAAAATTGCCTTAGTATGTATCAAATACACTGTAATTTTTTGAAATTGAAAATTTTTTTTTTTTACCTGATATTAATTTATTATCGAAAAAGCACCCTAATTTTCAATCGAAAATTCACGAGTCAAAATATCAGCTTTTTTTAAAAAGTCGAATCGAACAATTTTTTTTCATCATTATGTACAATTAACTATAAACTATGATCATACTTGTGGAAGTTTGCAATGGAATGGAAGATTTTTGTAATATTTCTTTTGCAACTACAGAGCATCACGTTGATTCACAGGAATATAGAATAAAAAGAGATGTAGCTGATTTACAACTATTACATAATTTTTCAACAGAAATGATCCCTTTCCAGAGACTGATAACATTATGTCAATATTTTCTGGAATTATTGGCAGTACTTCTGTAAATTGTTACGCAGCGTATGAAGAAGGAGAAAAATCGTTACAAGCTATTGTGAGAATGAATTTTAGCAGTGTCAAATTTAAATGAAAAAACAAAGTGTTGTCTCTAAAAGCGTTCAATCTTCCGTTAAAGTAAACGAAGATATTATAGCAATCGATCCGTTATTGCTATTTCAATGAATATCTCTAATGATCGACAGTAAAAAAGATATGCAGACTTATTTAAAATACGAACTTGCTCCATTTACATTGTCACTTTTTACCGAAAATGGTCTCAGGAAAAACGTTAAATCTCAGCTCACGAATTATTTGTGAGTACAAATGGACCAACGCATTCTGACGGCATTGTGCATGTCCTCGACGGTGGATTTTTACTGTAAAAAGTAATTTGGCAGAAAATGAAATGGTGGAAGAGATCATGAATATATATTTGCGTTATGTCAAAAAAAATTATGCAGCAGACAGCTATTTCGTTTTTAACGGCTATTCCGAAATTGAAAAATCAGTAACTGTGACACCAGCACCAGCAGCTCATTCAACTAAAAAAGGAGAACGTAGTCGTAGAAAAACCTCAGACAATATTCCAAAGTTTCATTATCAAAACCATACTAAAATACCATTTTTGCAGGAAAATTTTTATCAAACGAGAAAAACAAAGACAAAATAATCAAAACGGTAATAGAAATATTACAGTCACAAGGATTTTTCTGTAAACAAGCAGAAGAAGATGCTGATGCTGATATAATAAGACTTCGATAGAAATTGCCAGAGATACAAATAAAACTGTCATTGTTGTGGGTCAAGATATTGATCTTTTGGTCCTTTTAATTCAATTAATGAAAATAATAATGACATTTATTTTCTTAAACCAGGTTATGGAACTGTAAAAGATCAATTTTTCACATCGATTAATTGCATTTGCATTGTTTTAGTTTGCGATACAACATCTGGATTTGCCGGGAAAGAAAGAAAAGTATCGTAAATTCATTATTAGACGCTAAAAATTTGTCAAGTTTGGCTAACATTTTTTATGAAAAAGATGCAAATAAACAAGATATCGCAAAAAATGGATTACAATTAATCAAATCTATTTATAAGTGCAAAAATGATAAGCTAACGCTGAATCAATTACGATTTCAAAAATATCAATTGGCAAAAATCAAATCATCTTTCGTATTGGCAAATCTCCCACCCACAGAAGGTGCAGCAGAACAACATTGTTACAGGCATATTATCAGCTTCAAACATGGCTGGGCAACGAACTGACAGCAACAGATTGGGGCTGGAAACAACATCAACGAGGCATTATGCCCAAATTTACAGAAAAGGAATTGATCCCGGAAATACTGCTCAAAACTATTTGCTGCAGCTGTGAAACTAGATGTAACAATTTAAAATGTGGTTGCCGAAAACATGTTTGAAATGCACAAATTTATGTTCAAGTTGTCACGGCTCGGAAAAATGCTCTAATGTGGAGGAAAAAGCCTACGAAGAAATTAATGATAATGATTCTGATGAAATTGTGGATGAGGAAGTAACGCAGACAGGAAACAATATTGGAGATGAAGACGGTGATGGTCTTGAAGATTTCGAAGATCTTCTAGAATCAGAAGACAACGAAGGAATGCCATCAAAGATGACAAAAATTGTAAGATTGTCCATGACAAAATTGTATTAATAAACCAGCTTTTAATTGTTAACAAAAATCGTATAGCAGTCACATTTTTTGATGAAATTTCCTTTAAATCCTATATTGAATATTTTTAACAGCTATTTTCACATGTCTTTTTGCAATCTTAATGTTTTGTGGATTTATAATTTTTTGTTTATCAATGTATCATGAAATCTTAAGCTACATGACTAATTACAGTATTAATTATAAGAAATATCTCAAAATTGTACATAATGATAAAAAAAAATTGTTCGATTCGAGTTTTCTTCGTTTTTTGCGTTTTTTGTGAACATTTCCATAGTAATGTATATTTTTTTACACTATCGGAAAGTAGAGATTTCAACGAACAAAAAGCCCACCGACTTTTTTAAAAAAGCTGATATTTTGATGCGTGAATTTTCGATTGAAAATTAGGGTGCTTTTTCGATATTAAATCAATATCAGGTAAAAAAATAATTTTTCAATTCCAAAAAATTACAGTGTATTTGATACATACTAAGGCAAGTTTTCACCAAATTTCGTAAAAAAAATTTTTTTTTAAAGATAAAAATAAAAAATCAAAAACTTAGTTTTTTGAATTTTCCACAAAAATTTGAGGTTATGTGAAAAAAGTGTAAATACAAAAGTTGTAGATCTTTTTGTTACCTACAACTTTGCTATTTAACTTTTTTCCATAGCACTTGTAGTTTCGCCGAAAATCGCGATAAACCGATTTTTACCCTTAAACCCCCCCCCCACTCCGACCTGAATTTATTTTTTTTTTCAATTTTAGCATATTCTCTTCTTTTTCCAATAGGTTTCATTCTACTATAATTTTTTTTGGTTTTAAAAATTATCGACCCTTGTCTACAAGTACAGTGCATCATTCAGTACACGATATGGTTTGATAATAAACCAGTGATTGTTGTATCTAACTTTGTTGGTATAGGACAAATGGGTAATTGTCCATTATTAACAATATACAGGATGTTCAGAAACTCTTCTGACAAGCGAAGACCGGTGATTTCTCAGATAATTTTAAGACAGTTAAACTCATTTCACCTAGTACGAAAATGCTTCCTAAGGGGAGAAGTATAGTTAATGACGATCAAGCAGATTTGGAAGGCCAAGGATCTTCATCAGATTTTCAACCCAGAGTGGACAAATTGTTAGCATCATCGCGAACAAATGAAGCCGAACTAGTTAATTTAGAAAGAGAAGTATAATCATCAGATTTTGATCCTTTTGATAGTGACGATTCCGTATTAAATCGTACTTTGATCCATTGCTTTACGACAATGCGTTTTCTGACGAACAAAAACAAGCTACTGGTGCTACTGGTATACAATCAGAGACTGATGAAAGGCAGAATTTACAAGGCAGTCATCAAACCAATAATGATGTACGCGCAGAAAGATGACCTGACACAGAGGGGACAAAAAGGATAATATAAACATCAGAGATAAAAACATTAAAAAAAAAATGAGGGTAAAACACTAGAAGTACAGATATACGACGAAGATGCAAGGTGGAGGACATCAAGGACTGGGTAAGAAATAGAAAAGTAGAATGGAACGTTCATATAAGACGGATGACACCAAATAGAGTAGCAAATAGTAGATTTTTTCAGAAACATTTTGTTTAGCAACCAAGAAAGTCTCGTACATTTCAGCTAAATTGGGCCGGACAGCCGTTATGTAGAAACCATAAGTTTTGCCGAATATTGAAAGGCATATTATCTAAAAAAATGTAACACATGGTATTTGTGACCTCTGTACTATCGCAATAGATGAACCAACGATAAGTAATAAAAACTTGGGGAGGAACAGTTCACGGACTCACAGCTTAAAATAATTATTAATTGCCTTGAATCTGATAAACCTGAATTGGTATATAAATATAATTATATAAAAGATTATATATAGAATTATATAAAAATTAGGTCAAATGCAAAAATGATAAAAATGTATATAAAAAAGCACCAATAAAAAACATATATATTAAAAAAAAAGCATAAAATAGTACTGTCAAATAACGTTTTTTTGCATATTTTATTCATATTTAAAAAGACAATATTCCTGCTCTACTTATAACAAATGGTGGTTTTAGGTGGGGAAGTGGTTATCCTGAGGATTATATCGAAGCGATCGCCATGAGAGAAAGTTAAAGCCATTCCTTGCTTGTCAGGTATACTGTATAAGAAACCTTAGAAAATCTCAGACGCAGGTAAGTGAAATATTATGCACAACACACACACACACACACACACACACACACACACACACACACACACACACACTCACACACCCCAACACACACTAACACACACCAACACACAAACTCACGTACAACATTATCTGCATTACACTAGATTATATCATGCTATACTCTAGCAAAGCAATAATGAAATGAGTCATATGCGTGATATCGTACATTCTTTAAATTCTTTATGAGTTTTACCAAAAATTGTATCAGTAGCGGAGAAATGTTAAATATATCAAATCTAAAAATATAAAAAATCAAGTATATGTTACTGTATTGACTGCGATATAACCGAACTGAAACACGTTTTTTTTTTCAATATGTATAGTTATGGGATTAGTTGATGGTCCCGCAATAAATTTATATTGGTCGAAAGATCCCATGTTCAGGAATGAGTTTATTACGACTACCATGAGACGAGACAGGTTCCTTTTACTGATGCGTTGCATTCATTTTTGTAATAATCAGCAGTGTAATAAAGATGATCGGTTCTATAAGTTAGGGAAATTTTAAAAGTACTGAATAAAAATTTTCAAGCTGCATTAACTCCAGGACGGATTTTGGTAGTCGATGAAAGTATAGTACCTTATCAAGGAAGACTGCAAATAAAGCAATATCTGCCAAATAAAACACACCCGTATGGAATTAAATTATATAAGTTATGTACAGTGGATGGTTATACTAACAACATAATCGTTTATCGTGGTAAAAATACGACTACCAATGCAAATACTGCTCAGAGTGAGCAGATAGTGTATGATCTTCTTAAACATGTTGAATTCGAAAATGGCTACTATCGCTACTTGTATGCTGATAATTATTACTCGAGTTTACCTTTAGCCAAATCATTATTCAAAGAACAAATAATTTATTGTGGAACCCTGAGGTCCAACAGAAGAGGTATTCTCAAAACGGTACCTAAAAAAATGAAAAAGGGAGAAATTTGGGGTACACAGAACAACTCCTTACGTATTATAAAATGGTTGGACAAACGGCCAGTTCCGATGTTAAGCACTGATCCAACCCATACAACTACTTTAGAACCAACAGGAAAGCGAAACTGGCAACGTGAGTTTGTATTGAAACCAAAGGCAATTATTGATTACAATCAAGCAAAAAAAGGTGTAGACTTTAGTGATCAGATTCCGTTTTAAGAAAAAGTTTTAAATGGTACCGTAAACTAGCCTTTGAATTTTTGCTTGGAACATCTATTGTAAATGCCTGGATTGTTTATAACAAGATTAGTTGTTCCACAAAATTATCTATAATGGAAGTTAGAAGAAAATTGGCGCATGAGTTACTTGTTACTACAACTTAAGAGAAACACATTCAAGCAAACAAGCAAGTAATATGGTGACAAAAGTAACAAGTTCTTCTTCTTCTGGTTCCTATCCGTTTCGGATGTTGGAAATCATATTGGCAATCATAACCTTGCTCGCTGCGGCTCGAAACAGCTCCGTTGAGGTTTTCTTAAACCATGTTCTTAAATTCCGCAGCCATGATATTCTCCTTCTACCGGGTCCTCGCTTACCTTTGACTTTACCTTGCAATATAGACTGTAGCAGGGAGTAACGGTGCTGATTTCTCATAACGTGTCCCAGATATTGCAATTTTATGCGTTTGATCGTAAACACAATCTCTGGTTCCTTCTTCATTTTTCCTAGAACTTCCTTGTTCGTGATCCTTGCTGTCCATGATATTCTCAGCATTCTTCTATAAAGCCACATCTCAAATGCTTCAAGTTTTTTAATAGTGGTGTCTGTAAGCGTCCATGCCTCCGCCCCGTACAACAACACAGAGAAAACATAGCATCTCAAATGTCTCATTTTTGTATCAAGGGATATGTTGTGACTTTTGAAGATGGCGCTCATTTTGTTAAAGACCGTTCTTGCCTTTCCTATGCGGCACTTTATTTCCTGTACATTGCTCCACTGTTCGTTTATAATAGTTCCCAGGTAGCAATACTGTTTTACTCGCTCTATCTGCGTCCCATTAATGTATAGATGAGCCCCGTTTATATTCTCCTTGCTGATAATCATTTGTTTCGTTTTGTGGGTATTAATGTTTAGTCCGTACTGTTGACTGTACTCGTTTATTCTGTCCATTAGCCTCTGAAGTCCCTCTAAACTATCTGCTATCACCATGGTGTCGTCGGCATATCTAACATTGTTTACTCTTTCACCATTTAGAAGGATGCCTTCGTCTATTCCGTAAAGAGCCTCGTTAAAAATTTTCTCTGAGTACATATTAAATATCAACGGCGATAGGATACATCCTGTCTAACTCCACGTAGTATTTTTATGTGATCTGTTTCTTCTCCGTTAATTTTCATGTATGCGGTCTGATTCCAGTAGAGTTCTGAAATTATTCTGAGGTCTTTGTCATCCAGGTCTGTCTCTTTTAAAATGTTTATCATCTTTTGATGTTGAACTCTGTCAAATGCCTTTTCATAGTCGATCAAGCACGCGTATACGTCGTAGTTAACGTCCCTGCATCTTTGAATCAGTACCTGTACTCCGAAAAGTGCCTCTCTGGTACCCACTGCGTTAATGAAGCCGAACTGTCTGTCCAATATTTGTTCCTCGCACTTCTTATAAATTCTTCCATGGATGACTCTAAGAAACAGTTTCAACATGTGGCTCATTAGGCTGATTGTTCGATATTCTTCGCACTTTTTAGCCCCCTGTTTTTTTAGGTATCGCTATGAATTCTGATTCTAGCCATTTATCAGGGATGATTCCTGTATTGTATATTTTATTGAAAACAGCTGTGATCCAATTTATTCCTTCTTCCTCCAAGAGTTTTAAAAATTCAGCTTCGATATTATCAGGCCCTACAGCTTTCCTGCTTTTCGTCCGTTTTATTGCTTCTTCTACCTAGTAGTAGGTAGAAAAAGCATTCATTGCAGTATCAAGTTACTGCAATGAATGTCCTGGACAACCAGGAATGTGTTTATCTTGCTTTAATAGCATTCATAAAAAATAATCTATTTTTCTGAAACTTGATTGTTTTTTTTAATAACTACGAAAAAATTTTTTATTTTCCTGAAACTTTATGTTTTTTTGTTTTCAAATATCATTTACACTAATAATATATTAAGAAGTTTTGATCTTTTAATCTAAATCTGTAAAAAATAGTAAGCTGTCTTGATACTTTAAAATATTCTTAACAGGAAACGAATGACAATGGTAAGTTTTAAAATGTTTTTACTGTTAATAACTGATCTTCAAACTCGTATTATTTATATTATAAAACTGTAAAACTGTAAAAACTAATTACGTCACTACCGGTCCCGACGGTCGGTAACGCACTGTGGTCGCGTCAAGCCATCGGTCCCGGGGACCGGTAACGCACTGTTCTTTGGTGGACATATTTTGGAAACGCAGTCAACCTGTTAAAGCTACTTAGCACTGCGTAACACTACCTAACACGACTATAAACACCACACATTGCACGACGGCCTTAACCGTAATGACGTAAATTCTAGAAAATATAGTTAGCATCAAGTTGAATTGTCCCACGGTATCCGACTGGGATTTGTTAATCCCATGTTAATAATATATTATATATTAATATATATATATATAATATATATATATATATATTATATATTTATATATAAGCGAGGTTCCTACAGCCTCTGCCGTTTCTCGCATTTCGACCGCCATCGTTTTCTGTCCATCCATTCGTCTTCTCTGATGGCTCTATCTCTCATTATGTGCCGTACATTTTCTTCCCAGGCAACTGAAGGCCTTCCCCTTCTTCTTCTTTGTTGTGGTATGTAATTTAAAGCTTTCTTTGGCCATCTATCTTCATTCATTCGTTTCACGTGACCATACCACACTAGTTGTCTCGTTTCAATTCTATCTACACTGGAATATACAGTATTTGTCCTCCTTCTAATATCTTCATTCCTGATGTGATCTTTTTTGGATATACCACACGCTCTCCTTAGAAAATCCATTTCTACTACTTCTATTCTTTTTCTATCCTTCTGCGTTATCTGCCAAACCTCTGCCCCATAAGTCATAATAGGCTCTACCAAGGTTCGATAGATTGTCAATTTCGTTTCTTGTCTAATATCTTTAGACCAAAGTAGAGAGTTTAGAATGTTTACCACTTTTTTTCCCTGCTGTGTTCTGTTTTCGATGTCTCTTTTGGTAGTGCCTTCTTTAGATATTATAGATCCGAGATATTTATATTCATTGCATGTTTTTGTGTTTCTAATTTCTAACTCTGGATCTTCTTCACCATCTCCTATTTTAAGATACTCTGTCTTTGCCATATTCATATTGAGGCCCCATTTTTCATATTCTTTCTTTAGTTTTCTAAACATGTAGTCCATGTCTTCCTCGTCATTCGCTACGACTACCTGATCATCTGCGAAAAATAAAGCTGTTAGACATTCACCACCGCCTATGTCTATTCCCATTCCGGATACTTGTTTTCTCCACTGCTCTAGCGATGATTGAATATATATTTTAAACAGGGTCGGAGACAGACAACATCCTTGTTTAAGCCCCTTGGTTATTGGAAATGATTCAGATATAAAGTTTCCTTCTTTAACGACACTTCTTGCATTTTTGTATATATTTGCGATAGCATCCACATACTCTCTACTGAGACCTACTTTCGTCAATGTATAAAATAGTTTTTTCAAAGGTACCGTATCATATGCCTTCTCTAAATCTACAAACAATAGGTGGGTAGATAGATTCCTTGCCTTCCGTTTTTCGATTACCTGCTGCAGAACGAATATATTATCAATGCACGATCTTCCTGCCCGAAATCCATTTTGTTCCTCTATGTCTTCATATTCTGATTCAATTCGTTTTTTTATTATTCGACCGTACAACCTCCCAACTGAGCTAGTAACAGTTATTCCTCTATAATTAGAGCAATTGCGTTTATCCCCTTTTTTGTATATTGAGCTGATGTATCCAACATTCCAATCATCAGGGATATTTTGTCCTTTTAAGCATTTATTAAATAGTTTAACCATCATCTCGTGTAATATTTTTGGTCCATACTTTACCAACTCAATTGGGATGTCTCCAGGTCCTGCTGCTTTACCGTTTTTCGATCTTTTGAGGGCATCGCTTAACTCTCCGGTTGTTATCTCAATTATTTGTGTATGTTCAGATATTTCTTCCATTTCGATATCTTGGAATTTACGTCTATCCTCTGTCAATAAGACCTCATAATGCTGTTTCCACTGTTTCAGATCTATTAATTTTAAGTTAGATTTTTCCTTTCCTTCCCTCCGGAGAGACTTTATCACCTTCCACGCTTGCCCAACTCTTGTTCCACCCATATACCTATCCACCTCTGCACATCTTCGATCCCACATCTCATTTTTACTTTTCACTACTTCTCTTTTTACATCTCGATTTAATTTCGTATATACCTTGTGATCTTCCTCCTTTCTCGTTGACATCCATTTCTGATAAGCAGTTTTCTTCTTGTTTACTAACGTTTGCATATTCTCCGACCACCATTCTTGATTTTTTGTTTCATGTTTGTCTTTATACCCCAAAGCTTCACTTGCAGCCTCATGAATGTACTTTTTAAGTTGTTGGTATAATTCTTCCGCTGTTATATTTTCTCGATCCACATTTTGTAATTTTGTGGCCAGTCGTAATTTGTAAAGAAATTTTGTTGAATCTTCTTTTAAGCTTTCTAGGTTATATTTAGGAGATGTTACTTTTTGTCCCTTTTCTATATTCTGTACCTGAGTGTTATTGTTTTTGCGATAGTTAACTATCACATTGGCCATAAGTAAATGATGGTCGGATCCACATTCTGATCCACGGTATACCCTTACGTCAGTTGTTTTCAGCTGGGAAGTTTGACGTTGGATTACAAAGTCGATTATCGAGCGCAGATTCCTAGTAGGTTGTATCCATGTAAATTTGTGGATGTCTCTATGTTGAAAAAATCCATTCATAATTTTGAGAGACATTATTTCACAAAAATCTCTAAGACGCATTCCGTTGTCATTGGTTATTTGTTCTCCATATCTTCCTACGACTCTGCTATTTTCTTCTGTCCCTACTCTGCCGTTTAAATCTCCTAGTATAAAGATTTCACAGTTTTCTTTAACTTCAGAGAGTATTTCATTCATATTGTCGTAGAAATCGTCTTTACTTTCTGGATTTGCATCTTCGTTTGGGGCATATACTCCGACAATTACGATATTGTGCCCATTCTTTTTCATTTCCAGTATTAGTAGTTGTTCATTTACTTCAGTCCACGATTTAATGTTGTTTTTAAGATTTTTTCGAATGGCAATAGAGACTCCCCTCTTAGCTCTGTTATCTTTACTCACTCCGCTGTATATATGTATATATTCTCCTATCTCTTCATTTCCTTTTCCCTTTTTCTTGGTTTCTGTGAGAACACATATATCTATTTTTCTTTCCGCTAATTCTTTGAATACTTCTGCTTGTTTGGTTCTCAGTCCTTGTACATTCCATGTAGCCAATATCATTTTCCTTTTTCGTTGCATTAGTCGTCTTTGTGTTGATCCATCCTTTGTATTCCGAGGCTTTTGGTCGAAATTTTTAGCATTAATTTCTTTTGACAAGGGACGAGTTGCTAGCCCATCGCCTCAACCCTCCTCCTTTATCCGGGCTTGGGACCGGCATCGGCATTTACTGAGCTACTCAATTCACCCAGTACTTACCGAAGGCGGAGTTCCATGTTAATAATAATATCTAAAATAACTTTCATTAGCATACTGCAATTCAACCATTTTTTTATTATTATTCTTATTACTTTTTGTTAAATTATATAGAATGAAATACCCAATTTTATCAAGATGGTGACATGGAGATAGAATGGAAGCCCCCTGCAAGCATATTTTTCCTTGAGAGGAACTGACGCTAAAATTTTGAGGAATAATGTGAAAGTGAAAAAGATCGCTGAAATATTAGATGAATATGAAGCACAGGTAAGGTCATTTATTTACTGAAAATAACAGGTAATAGGTAGTAATAAATCATAAATTACAATAACGTGGTTGACTAGGGATTATAATTCGGATGTAATAGTGTAGCGAGGATTTTAAAAAAGAGTACACTAATATAAACATTTAAAGAAAATTTATTTACATATTTACTCTTTTGTGCAGTAGTAGAAACCCTTAGAACCTGTCGTCTCAGCTTACGGTGCCTTTTCTTTTCGGGATGTTGGCGATCAGCATGGATATCTTAACTTTGCTTGCAGCTATTTGGAATTATCCGGTTATAAACGGATTAAACAAGGTTCTCAGGTTTTAAAGCCAAGTGGACATATTCGAACTTAGTTATAAGGATCGAATCGTTTTATAATGCCCCTTTGTTCGCTTCTTCTCGATCGACAATGATAAATACAATAAAACGTTAAAGTTGTGGAGAAAAAATGTTGATTTTATTGACAGGTACTACTAATTACACTATACGATGTTGGTTATGTAACTATCTATAGCAGACTGCTCTCACATGAGCTCAAATCCCCAATTTATAATCTCACAAATAATGTACACCTCAGTACGGAGGTTATTCCTTCTATCATACTAACAAATTTTTGAACTATGAACTTACAATACAATTTTATCTAGGCCGTAATTGCAACACTTAGGAAGTTCAATTGGAAGATATATTATTCGGCAATTTATTAAGTTCAATTGGAAGATATATTATTCGGCAATTTATTCAGTTGTAGGTAAATGAATTATTAAAATATTACACAATGTTTTCACGATGTTTGAGTTATACACGGTAAAACTATAAAATGTTAAAAAGTTAGGAATAATGTGAGATTACAAATTAAGGAAATTCATCAAAATGAGAAAGCTCTTAAGCAACCGCAACCTAAGCATTAACCTCCGATGGCGTGCCACGAAATGCTACGTACTCTCTACGCTACTTTACGGCGTAGAAGGGTGGAAGTTAACAGCAGCAACTATAAAGAAGTTAGCGGCTCTAGAAATGTGGCTGTATCGACGCATACTGAGAATACCTTGGACAGACAGAGTGACCAACACAGAGGTATTAAGACGAATGAGTAAAGAGGTGGAATTGTTAACAACTGTTAAAATGAGGAAAGCGTCATACCTGGGCCATGTGTTCCGTAATGATAAGTACAGTCTGCTACAGCTTATCGTGGAAGGCAAGATTGAAGGTAGAAGAGGTTTGGGCAGAAAGAAGAAATCCTGGCTGAGAAACTTGAGAGAATGGTTTCAAATACCAGAAGCTGCGAACATAATTCATGCGGCACAAAACAGAGAAACCTATCGTATGATGGTCGCCAACCTTCGGAAGAAGACGGCACATACAGAAGAAGAAGACAAATTAAGGGATTAATTTGTGATTGAACATATTGGCCACTATATAAAAGAAACAGACGACCAATAGATAGCCGTTATTATCTCCGTTTTGGAAGGGGCCTTGCAAGAAATATGCAAGTCTATATTCTGCGATTTTTCGACAATTTCATCTGCGTTATCTCTGGGAATACCTAGCATCTCCTGAAAATGCTCTTTCCATCTCTCTACTTGGTCATCTGTTGTAGTAAGTAATTCGCCTGTCTTGGATCTTACAATGTTCGAACAGTTGGACCCATTACCCATAAACATTAAGTGTGACAAAAAGAAAAATAAATAAAACAAGAATTCCACAACACGCTATGAAAAGATTAATGTTAGGATACCATCAGAGATAAAGTACCAAACCTAGAAATAAGAAGAATAATAGAAGTCACGGACGCTGTTGAAAGAATAGATATGACTAAATGGTCTTGTGTCGGACATATAGCCACATTGACGAATAATGGATGGACCAGAAAGATTCTGGAATGGAAACCAAGACAAGAGGCATATAGAGGCAGAGGATGACCATCGACTAGATAGACGGATGATATAAAGAGCATCACTACAAATTGACGCAAGAAGCTCAAGATATAAATAGATAAAAATTTTTACGGGTGGCCTTCGTTCAGCAGTGGACAATTATAGGCCAATTAATGATCTATCATAGTCTTAAAATTAACACACTATAACAATTTTACCTCTTGTATGGTATGCTTAAAAATTTTTTTTGATTGAGTATAATTCATATGAAATTTTTATTTTAGGTACCTATGTATTATTATGTCGACTCATCCAGAAAAATGTAGCAGTTACTCCAAAATAATTCTTAAGCAAAAATCTGAAATTAAATCTGGATTTTTTATTTCGAAATTCCAGAAGATGATATTGTTTTTAAATAGCAAAATAACGTGTTCCACAAGGACTAGTTTCAATTGTAGTATCCTGATAATATTTTATTAAAATATTTTAAAATCATTTTTTTATTTTATTTTTCGGTTAATCTACATATATATATATATATATATATATATATATATATATATATATATATATTATATATATATATATATATATATATATAAATCACTGTTAGATGATGATAGATACTACCAACCACTTTCCACTAACCCTTGCTCTAAATTCACAAATAAAATAAATAAATTTATAACACATTTGAAAAATATTAAGATCATAGATCAACCTTTAGCTAAAACTTTACATAATTATGATGGATATGCTCCTAGATTTTATTGTCTGCCAAAGATACATAAACCTACACTGAGCATGAGACCTATTGTGTCCTCTATTAATTCACCTAATATCAATATTGCTAAATTTCTAACTGACATCCTTTCAAAGTCATATAATTACAATAATGACTTTAATATTGTTGATTCGTTTAACTTTAGTGAATTTATTAACAATTTCAAATTACCACCAGGTTACATTTTAGTAAGTTTTGATGTGGTTTCTCTCTTCACCAATTTACCTTTGTCCAGTGTTATCACTTCCTTAAAAAATCACTGGAATTCGATTAAACCTAACTGTCCTGTTTCCTGGGATGTATTTGCAGAACTCTTGCAACTAGTTTTTGATACTAATTTCTTGGTCTTTGACGACAAATATTACCTTCAAATTTTTGGCACACCTATGGGTTCCTCAATCTCTCCTATCCTAGTCAACTATGTATTGGATGATTTAGTTTCTGACCGTTTGGGTCGTTTGGATGTTCAAATCCCTTTTATTAAGAGGTATGTGGATGATTTATTATTAGCCCTACCACCTGACAAGGTTCAGGGTACCTTATCCTTTTTTAATGAGTTTGATCCTCATTTACAGTTCACTGTTGAACTTGAGGACAGCATCACCAATAGCATTCCCTTTTTAGACATGCGTGTCATTAGAATGGGAGATAACACCCTAACCACAAGTTGGTATAGAAAACCCATGGCCTCTAATAGGTTCCTTAATTACCACTCCTGTCACCCTATGAAGTATAAACTAAACCTTATAAAAGCTTTAAGCTGCAGATTACATAAATTGACACATCCAATTAATCGAAGGGAATCCCTTAAGTTATTAAGAAATATTCTAATAGAGAACTCATATCCATCATCTATCATAAACAAATACCTATACACACAAAGCTATGGTTCCTCGTTTGATGACATACCCAATGGTGACCAACTCAGAACTATTTCCAATAACTCAATTAATAGCATTGTTCTGCCAGATACTGAGTTTGAGAATCCTATTATCCATTATTCTTCTCTACCTTATTTTCCTCAAGTTACTGAGAAACTTATTAAACTGTATAAACAAAATAACATTCCTGTTAAAATTGCTGTCAAGAACGCAAAAACTGTTAGAAATCTTTTTTCAAAAACTAAAACACCATTGTCCACTTTAGAACAAGTCAATACAATTTACCACCTTCCATGCTCTGATTGTGATTTGTGCTACATTGGCCAGACCGGTAGATCATTAAAAGGTCGTCTTACTTCTCATCGTAGTGATATTAATTTATCAAAAAATACGTGTGCTCTCGCACAACACGCTATTAGCAACAAACATAAAGTGGATTTTAATGAAGTTAAGATTCTTGGCACTGAACGTAATCTATTTAAAAGACAGTTTTTAGAAATGTGTTCAATTCTTAAACATCCTAATTCTCTAAATAAGAGAACTGACATAAGTAACTTGAGCCAAATTTATCATGCTCTAATATTGCAGAACTAGGCTTTACTTTCATTTTCAATATAATTGTCATGTAATATACATATTTGAACACAATTTTTTTAATTAATAATATAACATAGTAAATAAATAACTAATATTAAAATAAACTGAAACACTCAATTCTTTATACCAACTACTTAAATATAGGCAACTTTCATTACACTGTTACCTCTACACTATAATTTTCCATATGAGTGTGAACCAGTCACTATTTAATAGTATAGTAATAATATTAACATTGTAATTGATTCATAGAATCCTTTACAAATTACAGATCTAAGTGTCTGAAGCTTAGACTGTTGGAAATTATCTAATTGTTATTCACCTGTTGGCAAAATTTTTTCAGCCACAATGTTTAACATAAATTTAAATATAAGAGTTTGAATGAAATTCTCCTGTTTGTTTGTTTTTAGACGGGCTAATGCGAGTAATTGTTATTGCTATATCAGTTTCTTTCATTGGATTGTCTCTTACAAGCGGGCTGTCATCCAAAGCTCATTAACATTTAAATAAACCGCTCAATTATTTGAGGTGGTACCTCTGACCTTGCTGTTCTGTTGAAATAATTTCAACCTCAAGGTTGGCTGTCTTTTCGTGGTTCTGTGTCAGTCTGTTCAATCTAACGCCATTTTCCTGGTAGCAGGTGCAAGGCTTAGACCGGTAACTTCATTCATTTACACTAATTTTTTTTTAATTATATTAACATCTTTTAATAATGCTACCAAAAGTTAAAATTAAAGCTTAATAATTATCAATAGTTGGAAGTTAATCGTTGATTTTCTTAGTTCTTTGCATCATTTAAGTTATAATTTAATATATTTTTTATACTTCGGACCACATGGTCACTTACTGTGCTAATTTTTTCAGCCTAAAAAGTCATAAATTTATGACTTTTTAGGCTGGTTGTAGCTATTCTATTTTTGTTTATAAATTCAATTTTTTTCTTAAGAAACTTCATCTAAATTTTTCAGAGAAACATTTATTAGAATAAGACATTTTTTTATTAATATTTTTTGTATTTATTATGTAAGCAGTAGTTTTATATAAAAAACTAATTTTATTTGGTGAGTTAACAAAAAATTTTTTATTTGTAGTTCAACTTTGTAAGACATTTTGTATTTTTTAGAAGCTCTTGATAAAAATTGTAATCACAATTGAAAGCTCGAGTAAAAAATAGTCAACAAATAGCCCCTTTTATTGACTCCAACCCATAAAAAACAGTGTTTATATATATATATATATATATATATATATATATATATTATATATATTATATATATATATCTTACAAAACGGCTACTTTAAAATCTTCCTACCTTTTATTAAAGGTGTCACTGACAAGATCAATAGAACTCCAAACCCTCTAAACATCAAAACCATCTTTACTAGTCACTCCAAGTTGTCCAATCTCGTCAGATCCGTAAAAGACCAAATCCCCAATAAAGACCATGGTGTCTACGAGATACCTTCTTCCAGTTGCCCACTTACATATATAGGACAGACAAACCGACGAATCCATAACCATATTTAAGAACACTCTATATCAGTCAAACATTCCGATACTAAATACGGACGACGCGTGTTCATATGGACGTGTGTTGGTATGGGAGCCTGTTCGTATGAGCGAGTGTTCTTATGGTCGAGTTTTCTTGTTAGTGCTTGTACGTGTTAATTCATTTTGCGACTTTTCTGGACCATCCCTATTGGACAGGATGTTTTATAAGCATAGCTTATTTTTTTTATAAATACCTTTCCAATTCTGCATTAGTTCCTGGAGTGGAGGCCTTTTTATTCCGCAGAGCATCTTCTAATAGTTGGCTGTAGTTTCCTCCTACAGTCGCGAGATTTAATAAGGATTTTTTCCAGACTAATATTATAGCTTAGCCAGCGGTGGTCAGACATAGATATGTCCTCCGATACCTGCCAGGTCTGAATTTTATTCAATATTTCAGCTGTTGCTAGCGTGTATATATACAAATCTTTTCTAATAATATAGTCATATAGAGACACCTTGAGCGTTGTTATCTCTTCTGCCCCAACTTAGATAATGAGAGTTCGAATCGCAGCCGATAATGAGTTCTATTAAATCTTCCATCTCCTTTGTTTGGGGTAGAGTGGCTGCATCTGAGGATAGGAAGACCAATGCTAGTATCAACTCTCTATTTTTGCCCTGTCCCCATGGGCATTTCACTTTAACCGCAGTTACTGTTGGTAGTTGTCGGTAAGTCGGTTGTTGATTACTTGGTTAGCTGAAAATTTGAGCGTTTAGACTGCTTAAACCAGTTATTTTGGTCTTAATTATCCAAGGTTCTTCAATTAGTGTTATTGACTCCTCCGGTAAATCCAGGCGGCGGGATAGTGTCGCCGTTGCCACATTTTTTTGTTTAGAGGTTGTATAGTAACTTTATTTTTTTCCGACGTCCTTGCCCATGGCTTAGGTGTCGTTCTGGTTCTTTTAGGTGTCCATTTCCGTCTCGGTAGAGAAGGGGGTAGCCTTAGTTGTTTCGGCGTCTTCTCTGCAGACTTCGTGGTCCAACATCTGATGGTTGTCTTCTCGCTGTGAGACCAAGGGTGTTTCAGTCTCAGTAGTTATCATTGGCTGTCGAGTGGTTGAGGTTTCTGGTTCCAATGAGGTCTTCCTTGCTTTGTTGGTGCTTACTTTGTTGGGTCAATGAGGTGAACGTGTATTCATACTCAGTCTCATTAACTTTTTCCTAAGGTCAATCATGTCCTTTTCTCTGATTGAAAAGACGAACAGATGTTCTTTAGGATCCTTTTTTACCTCGTGGTGGAAGGTGCTCTATCTAGCCACTGCTATGTCTGGATTTTGCACCGTAAAAATATGCAGAACTCTATCTGGCTCATCAAAGGTGCTCGTAGCATCTGCGAAGATCGATAGAGAGGCTTTGATAAGCTTCGGGAGCTTAACGTGACTTTTCCAGCCATGCAAGCGCCCCATCATTATCACAAACTACTCTGATGATCTCACCTGAGTAAGTAAACGATTAGAACGTGGGAGCTCTTATCTGGCTGCTGGAGGTATATAAGATTGTTCTGATCAATTCCTTGATCAGGCTGATTTTGGTAAGGTTTGCCTAGTCGGCAGTGACCTTTCCGTATGGGTTTGCCTTATCTATAATGGCAACCTTAAGATATTTTGAGGCGGCTTCCACGAAGATTTGCGAAAAGTCAAGAGTTAGCAGCGTTTCCACCACTGCGTGACTTATTATGCTTC